CACTGACGCCGCATTTCCTTGTTGAATTTCTATGGACAATTGCTGCGCAGAAATTTGTGCGAGCGTGCTTCTCCGGTGTGCTGCTGTAGTCTTTTTCCCAAATCTTTGATGATGGCGATCACCGACGGTCTCCACGGGCCCGGTGTTTCAAAAGCGATCGGAACGAACAGGTTGTACAGGTATGGGCAAGTAGCTCCGGCCGCAGTGCCGCTTCAGCCACGTATCCACGCCCAATACGTTTTTTGGTTCAAAAAAGCGGATAAAGCTCAAATTTGCGGTATACAGGAAACTTGACCTTTGCATTGTTTTGTGGGATGGTGCTACTTACTGACGCGGGTTGGAACTAAATGTGATAACAACCAGTAACTGATTCCGTACCGGGCTGTACAGTTTAGCCACGGGTGCGCTATGGATTTACAGTATATACCGGCCTGCTGATCCATGTTACGTTACAGAAAATCAGTGCGCCGTCAACGGCGTCAAGCTAACATTTCAGTGCAAATTCGCTCGCTTCCGCTGGCGCTCGCACAGGGAATTTCCCAGCGCCGTTTCCGCTGCATTATCTTGCTAGAATGTTAATTCCCGCCTCGAACACTGCTGCTCGCGAATCGCAATACGGGTCCGATTCTACCGGCATGCACACACTGCACACCTGCGGGATCACGGAGCTGGATATTTTGAGGATATACTCTAATTCTTTATTCTGGGTTTCCCTCTGAATTTTCGTTTCTATTCCGTACCAGCTGTGCTTCACACAATTTAAACAAGCCAGCTGTAAACCGAGGTTTCCCTCTTCTCCCTTTAAGTGAATCCTCCTTTTGAAAGAAAAGGAGGGAACCCTTCGGGCAACTGACAGGATGAGACATTTGTACAGATTTGGCATTTTTATGACGCGGGCTGCACCCGGGAACCATCAATAAAGGAACAAACCAACAGCTGCCGGGAAATGCCGTTCTGAAGGTTTTAATTTGCTGCCTCGATCAAATTGGTATAGGTTGGGTGTGCATGTGGAGACGAGGGTTTGGGTTTCCCGGCATTGAAATCCTCGTCCACATAATGGACAACCAAAACGTACTTTGAACATCGGGATCAAGGAAGGCGAATGCGGCTGGATAACTGTTCCACCGATAATGGAAGCAACATCATTTCCGGTACGTATTTTGGTCGAATTAATCTTATAATATTTTGTTGCGCGTCGGTTCTTGGTGTTTTGCGGACATACTCTCACTATTTATCTTGGTTTTCCAACGGAATTCCGCATCCCATTCCTTACCAGGTGTTTACCATCACGCACGGGTACCATACATTCGTGACATTCGCTATTGACAGACATGTCTACTCTATCTGTAATTCGTTAGCGTGAAGGGTAAACCGAGCGGATGAAAATATTGTACCGCTGCTCCGAGACTATTAACGCCCTCGTGGTTATTAAGCGCGGGGCAATTGCGCGTCGCACCACATGGGGAAGATTGAGCGGTCGAAGTTGTTCTTGTGGAGGGGAATGGTGATCAGCGTCTGTGGAAAGTGCACACTGAAGGTGATCCGCATTCCCTTTCCCAAGAATCAGCTTCCTGTTTAACGTGAAAGGGAGAAAGGGAACCTCTCGGGAATTCGACAGATCGAAGCAACAGTCTCCGCTTTACAGTTTCATTTAAACTTCCCAGCCAGCATGGCAGACGATAAGGAAGAAATTCCAGCAAGTTTTCCGTATGTTACCGGTAATCATGTATCATGGAGGTCTTCAAATTTGCACGTAAAGGCATTAAACCGCGAAGATCGCTCCGTAACCGATCCGCTGTTGTAGCACGTTTTTCAAATTTTAAAATAAAGTTCAACAATTTTAAATACTCATTTTAAAATTTGGAAAAAATCTTGCAAGCGGAAATCGGTGTAACAACGATCTTCAAGACGCTGTGTGTTCTCTTGCAAAATCTTAAGGTGATCGATTCGGTGATTTCGGTCCATAAGGAGTTCGCAAATGCGAAAATTCCTCCGGATTTGCACGAATTCAGTGTTTTATGTGGGGTCATTTCCTTTAACTGCCCGGGAATCGCGGTGTGAAGGAATTTACTAATGCTGCGTTGCTGGTGTCTGTGTCGGGTGTCCGCGTGTGGACGAGGATTACAGTACCCTGAAAGCTTCGTTGATCTACGGGCAGAGGGCTGCTGCGACTCCGGCAGAACGCTCGAGGTCACAAGTTGTGAACACAAGTTGTGACCTCCAACATTCTGCTGCATTCGCCAGCCGTCTGCCGGCTGCCCCACCGGTGATGCACTTAGCTAGTGTGATTCGACCGCCACCGGGGAAACCGTGAATAAAGGCCATGAATACTGATATGTGGCCGTCGCCGGATCCGTCTCAGCGGCCTGGTGTACGCGAAGCACGTTATCCCCTTTGAATGTGCTTCATGTAGATGAAGCCACCGAGCGCCGGGATGTCCGCAGTGACGCCACGGATACATCCCGCAAATTGTCAAGCATCAGCGCGACGCTATCCGACCATCGGATGAAGGACAGTGGTCGTGTCGGTTTGAGTGCTGCCGCTTTCACCTGCCACTAACAGGAACAGTTGCCGATTCATCGCGACAAGATTTCCTGAGACGTCTAGTCCGTGAACGATTCATAAAAGAACAGACCAACAGATGCCGTGCTGAAGGTGTTCATTTGTTGCCTGCAGCAGGTACAGGTTGGGTGGCCACAGGGAGACGAGGATTGACGTTTCCCGACATTGTAATCCTCGTCTACACAGCGGACACCCAAGACGTTGGGTTGAACATCGGGATCCAGGAAGACGAATGCGGCTTTGATAACTTTTGTCACCGATAATGGAAGCGCATATTCCGGAACGTAATTTCCGGTACGTATTTTGTGGTCGGATTAATCTTATATTTTATTTCGCGGGTACACTTGTGATCCTCGTTCCGGACCGACTTGTGTTACTATGCTATCCTGGCAACAATGTGCGTTCGACGGTTCGACGTTCACAGAGTCCTGCAATTCACGTCACGTCTCGCATTCCGCTGTTATGCAACAGCCCACGAGTCGAGTTAAATCCATTTTTCCACGCCGTATTCCTGCAGAGTTACTGGTGTCCCGTGGATTCAGGTATGTCATTTTTTCTCTCAACATTAATCAGATAAATTGTTCAGGAAAACCTGAAGCCATTTCTTTAGTCATTTCATCGGCTTATGAAAATTGCTGTGTAGTTACTTGTATCGGCAATCTTTGCTGCGTTCTCTACAATCCGATGGCGAGTTGAAATAATTCAGCTTAAAGAATTGTGCTGCGGAATTCACCACGAAATGGTTGGTTTAATGATCTTGGATCATAAGGCGACCCATGGCGTTGTGAACAAAAATTGCGCACCCCTTACTGTTGCAGCACGTTTTCCCAAGTTTAAAACGACGTCCAAAATTTTACAAACTCATTTTAAAAATTTAAGAAAATTTTGCAACGGAAATCGGTGTGAGAACGACCTTCATGACGGTGTGTATTTCCGTGCAAAACTTGAAGGTGATCGATTCGATCTGTAATGAGACTCTTGGTACACCTGAACGCATTTAAAAATTTGGGATTTTGGTACCTTGATAACTCCGCAACTGGATACTCTGCGCGCCAAAACAAATTTCACGCCTGTGTATACAAACCGTTTGGCTACATAACGTTCAATGTTAACAAGCAATCCGGAAAAGTGTTTGGAAGTGCACGAAAGCGGGAATTCCCGCGGATTAATTCAGTGCCACAGATACGTACCCGGTTGCTTTCGCTATTGCTAAGGATCATTCGACTGATCATTTACGTGATGAATAAAAATACAGCCTTGCAGACACCTCATGTTCAGTCGCTAATACATCAGGCAACCTTTAAACATCTTCTTCCTCCATTTTATTTAGGTTGGCGTAACTCAACCGGCGAAAGTTCCGATGTTGTGCCCATATACCATTTGTTGATAATTATATGATGTACTAGTATACAAAACATTTATGCCTTCCGAATGCACTAAAACAACGTGCAGCAAGACGTTGTTGAGCAGCGGAAAAGTACCAGATTCAAGCATATTGACGTGCGGCTAAGTATGGAGCATAATCTGTCAGCACGTTCGCTGGCACAAGGAATTTTCCAGCGCCGTTTTCGTTGCATTGATCGCTTGTTAATTCCCGCCTCGAACACAGCGTCCCGCGAATCCAACTGCACACCGTCACACACTCACGGGATCATGGATCGTCGCTGAACGCATCGATACGGTGCTTAACTTTCTGCGGACATACTCGCAATCTTTACCGTCGTTTTCCGACGGAATTTTGCATTCCCCGCTGTTTTCCATTTTGCAGGGGTACCGTACGTTCGTGCCGCTCACTATTTTATTCGTAGACATGTCTATGACGTACGGTAGACATATTTCTAAATCGTGAGCGCCCAGAGTAACCTGAATTGCCGATGCCGATGGGATTAATTTTTACGGTTATATAAATTATATTCAACAAATGACAGAGCGCGCCTGTAAGTCTTTGACAGGGTAATTGAGCTTGTTTGGCTTGATGTCATCCCGCTGCATTGATGAGATTCCGCTGTTATTCTCTCGTAATAGTAGTAAGTAAATACTATTCCTGGCGGACAAATGCGGAATTCGGACAGGATCCGCTTATTATAATGGGCAGTAGCATGTGGACGGCATGTTGGGTCGCTGCCAAGGGATTCCCGACGCCCGTCAAGCTATGAAGCTGTGGGGTAACTGCGCGTCGCCCCGCCTGGGTGAACTGGTGGACAAGAAGAAACCGGTTGACGTTATTCTTAGGGAGGGGAATCCAGACATCATCTCGTCGAAAGTGTCGACGGAATCCGGTCTGGATTCCCTTGCCAGGAATCAGCTTAAGGGATTTGGCCCGGTACACAGCAACAAATTCGTGTACATACACGGGAACTTTCGCTGTCGCGCACTCCCAAACACGTTTCTGCATTGCTTTATGGAATTTTGTAGCCAAAAGGTTTGTATACATAGGCGTGAAATCCGTTTTTGCTCGGAACATCCGGTTCGGGAGTTATGACTGTTAGAAAATTCCAAGAAGTTTAAATGCATTCAGGTGTACCAAAAGTCTCATTATGGGCCGATCCCTTTCAAATTTTGTAGGTAAATGCGCATAACCATGAAGATCGTTCTTACACCAATCCACTGTTCTAGCATGCCTTTCAAATTTTAAAATGAATTTCAAAAATTTTAAAACCCGTTTTAAAATTCGAAAAAAAATTATTGTGGAAGTTTGGATCGGTGTGAGAACGATTTTCATGGTTATGTGCATTTACGTGCAAAATTTGAAAGGAATCGGCCCATAATGAGACTTTTGGTACACCTGAATGCATTTAAACCTATGACATTTTGCTACCTGAACAACTCCGCAACCTGATGCTGCGCGCGCATACGAACTTTGCGCCTGTATACCAATCTTTTGGCTACACAACGTTAAAAAGTAATCCAACAACGTGCGTGGAAGTGAGCGGAAGCGATGAATTCAGTGCTGCAGATATGTACCGGATCACTTCCCGGGAATCGCGCTGTCGAAGTACTTTATCAATGATGTCTTGCTGGTACGTGTCGGGTGTCTATGGTCGGCTACCAGTCCTTTCATAATCGTACTATAGTAAGCACTGGTCAGTACTAATAGATACTATAAATACTACATAAAAGATACATAAAAAATACCCGTACAGGCACATACACGTACACAAATAAATACTGTAATCATTGGTTCTAAAAAAATACGTAAACGATACACGTGCGTAAAAACATAAAAATACTCATAAAAACATGAACAAGAAATACATAAAAAATAATAAATAGTAGTGCATAAAACATACACGTACATACACGTACATGTACACATATAAATACAGTAAGTATTGGTTATTAAAAATACGTAAAAAAAATACACGTATATCTATATAAAAAATAAAAACACACATAAAAGATAATAAGTAAATAATAGTACATAAAAAATACATGTACATACAAGTACACATACACAAATTCTTAGCTTGTTATCACACTACGCTGCGTTGCTCTGTTGTTGTCAAGCGACGCAACGTACAATCGACCGGTTCTCAATTAAAGTATAAGTTATATTGACCAAGTGTAAGTACTGCGTACTGTACCAACGTACATTAATTATATTGACGGCTTAATCAAACGTCGCGCTATGCAGCGGTAATTATTATTATACGAAGGGCAGCAAATTTTGACGGTCAGATATCCACAGACTATATAAATTATCATAAAAATGCATCTGTGCATTCAGGATTAAGTCTTATGGAGAGATTTACAAACAAAACAACGCTAATCTAGGCAATTTCTGGCCGCAGCTACGACGAACGCGGAGACGGATTAGTATGCTTCCCGGACTGCACATACGGAGATGGCGTTCCGTGTGCCAGCTGGGGTGTACACCGCGGCCGTGACCTTTCTCGGCTGCTTGGACGCCAGTAGGTACTTGTAAAATTATTTATTTCTGCAATTATTTAGTCCAAAGGTATTTTATTAAAATCTTAAAAAATATTTTATTTTATTAAAATTTCCATTTAAACAATAATAATAAATAAACAAGTACGTAAAAATAGTTTCTTACTAAACGTCATTGCTGGCAAGGCTTATATAAATTCGTAATCGATTAATTATGTTTATTTATATGTTATTATGTTTATTTATATTATTTGATGTTATTATGTTTATTTATATTATTTATATTAATTGCTGTTATTATGTTTATTTATATTATCCACTGTTTTATAGTAATAGTTCCGCAAGCCACCACCAAAACCACCACCAGTACGTCGATCACTGCCGCGATATTAGTTTTGTGAGTGCGAATAATCCGGCTATTGGCTGGCTGCGTATATATAGCTCTAGGTCCGACCACCCCGTGCTACCGCTGCACCTACACACCCTCGGGGCCACCGACCAACCCTGCCTGCGCGGAGAATCTGTGGCAGGATAAGGAGTTCACCTTCCTGGATGTTCCCAAGCCGGGCATGGTCGACTGTCCGGTTAGCCGTTGTTCGGTGTCGCTGAACTACAGTAGTAAGTCACCCACGTCAGTGTCGACCAGTTTCTTGTACATCCAGGATTTTATTTCATTTTTTATTCTTTATTTCTTTTACATTCGGTTTCTATTCGTTTATATACATTCGATGCATATATGTGCCTGTACACTGCTTGATAAACGCCAGATTTTTCTATGCACCATAAAAGCCGATGCGCTGCCGCACCGAGCGGTCGCAACTGTTTCCAGATGCTGGAAGTCTCCAAATTTTCCGTCATTAAACATTTTTAAAATCCTTATATATTATAATTTTTTTTATTGAAATTAACGTCTTTTTTTGGGACGTAAAATTAAAATGCATTGGAATGGGAATTTTCACAATCAGTCACGATGTTATTCGCATTCCGCTGCCTTTGAGCACTGTCACATGCGTCAGTTGCGCCGGAAATCCCTGGGTTATCTTCCTTTGAAATGTTTGGGTTAGAAATTTTCGTGAAACAGAAACTTAGTTCTATTTCGGGATTTCCGTGGGAATCTCGCTTACTATGAATTACACAGGGAAAACAGAAAATAGTGCGAATTTTAAATAGGTGACCACTCTTACACTCCCTTTCATTCTGTGCACAACCTTTTTGCACTGCCTTTCATTCCGTATACAAGCTTTAAATTTTTTTAATTTTTTCACAGCAGAGTTACTGTATTTCTGGAATAAAAAAAATGCGCAATCTCGACCGTTTTTTTTTATTTTGAAAAGCAACGTCTTTCACCCTGATCTCCGCAAGACCTGCTCCGTAACGCTTGTTTATTCAATCTTCGCTTGCTACGTGAGCTATTTGCCGACGCTGTCATACACCAGGACGTCTTCGTCGGAACGGTCCCATGATGCTGCAAAAAAGTAGTAAGTAATATTTTTTTTGTAGTTTTGCTTTTCTGTAGTAATATAGATTACAAGTATTTAAGTATAATATATATAAATATATATAAATATATAGTATTTAAGTATAATATATATAAATATATATAAAAGTTTGGTAGTGCACCGAGTGAATGGTAGTGCGCAAAAAGGTTGTGCACGGAATGAGAGGTAGTGCAAAAGGTTGTGTACGGAGTGAAAGGGTGTGAAAGGGTGTGTACGGAGTGGTCACCTTTTAAATATTCTTTTCAGGTCGACCATGACCTTTACGTGTTACCTACGTGTCCCTGTAGCGATGAGGCAACGCATCTCTATGGTAATGACCTTTATTGAATATCGTCACACAAACACTGTTGCGGTTGCAGAGACCTACGCGCCGGCCGACGCCTCGCCTACCTCCAAAGTGTCTTTCACGCTGGGCTGTCTGGAGTCGGGCGTGGCGGTGAGCCAGTGCGCCGGCTTCACCTATACCGCCGCCGGTAGCAGCAGCTGCTTCTCCTGCAGCGCGCCCGCCTGCAACCTGCAGTTCCTCACCCGGTTCTTCCGCTGGTTCGCCGAGACCGCCGCCACCAGCGACCAGGCCGGGCGCGGCCCCACGAAACTCCCGGACTTCTACGCCACGACCACGCGGCGTCCCTATCCCGACGACGGCGGCGCGGATGACGAGGAAACAACGCCGCCGGCAGCGGATCGGGCGGTGGCGCTGGTATCGCCGGTGCCGTTAATCAGTGTTGTATTGCTTATGCGGCGGGCGTTGGAGACCTGTTAAAGGTCACGATACACGATATAGTTTTTATTTTTTACTCTGATTGCGTTCTTAAAGCATAATTTATTTTCTTATTTCTATAATTAATTTTGTTTATGTGCGCACCATATGCTGGAAAAGGTCAACATGGAAAAACTGTTCCGCCACTCGAATGTACACTGAATGATCCGAAATTCTAATACCGTTCTAATAATACGGCAACCGGCGGAATATCCAGTATCGGTTAAGCCACGCAGAATTATTTTATACATAACTATTTATTTTCTGTTTTTATTCTTCTTTTACACAGGCAGTTTATTTGTTCCAGCCAGGTTGAAAATCCCATGCTAAATTTTCATTCTAGCCGGATAGGGTTACAGGTCTTCCTGCTCTGAATCCAGCCAAAATAAATTAAAATTAATAATTTAAAATTTAATTACTAATTCGTTAAAATAAAATATGTAGTTAATTTAGTCTGCATAACCTAATTTAACTCCAAGTATAGTGCTATAAATTACGAGTATTACTCACCTTAAGAAAAAATAATTTAATTCATCGCTGAAGTACATTATGGGAAAACCATCAGAGTCATGGCCGTAGCAACGATGTTTGACGTCAGTAATAACAGTGTATAGAGATGACGCTGAATAAGGATGACTGTCTGCTGGAATCAGCGCCTCCTCAATAAACACTGGAACAATCCTCATCAGGCGGATTAGTTCTAAAAAATGGCACTATACGTTTGATTATCAGGGGTATCTACAGTCTGTACTGATATCGGATTATAATCTGTGATATGTTTTTCATATTTCTATATATATTTTTATTGGATTATAACCTTTGATTCAGCGATCTATGGGAGTCGCTGGGGGGGAAGCCTCGCAACCTGTGCGTTATACGGTCAGCCGCTGTTTGGCCGTTTCCACAACGGATTGCCGTAAGGGGACAGCGGATGCGACGAGGGACGCTGTGAAGCAGTAGTATGCGTCCGCGGCGATGGCGTTCCGCGTGCTGGCTGGATTATATCTTTACACCGTCGCCGTGACCTTTCTCGGATGTCTGCACGCTGGTGGGTACAGCAAGTACTTAAATTTATCTAGCTTGTCAGTTATGGAAAATTTTTAAAAATTTTAAAAATTAATTTAAAATTTGAAAAAAATGGTCGAAAGCTGGTTCGGTACCAAAACGTTCTTCATAGTAATGTGTGTTTTCGTGCAAACTCTGAAGAGCATCGGTTCATAACGAGACTTTTGGTGCACCTCCGCGCGTTTAAACTTTTGGAATTTTATTTTATTAATAACTCCCGAACCGGATGTTGCGCGTGCAAACGGATTTCACGCCTACGTATACAAATCCTTTGGCCACAAAATGTACTAAAGCAATGCAGAAAAGTGTTTAGGAGTGCGCGACAGCGAAAGTTCCCGAGTATGTACCCGAATTTGGTACAATGTATCGGGCCAAATTCCTTAAAAAAATTAGAACTGATATCCAATTTACAAGAATTTAGTTAACAAGCTTTATGAAAGAAATCTGGACGCTTCCGGTGCTTGACGCAATTGCCACCGCCCGGTGTGGCCACGTCATGCGAATTTCATCGTGATAGTTTTTAAAAATTCTCAGTCTTGTCTTTTTTGATTTTCGTAAAAAAATTACCTTCTCTGCAGTTTGCACTAATTTTTTTTTAATAAAAAAAAGTTACTTTCTCTGCACTGATTTTATTAAAACAAGAATAAATTGGATTGTATTTACAGAGATCGTTCCGACTCGTACACGCCGGCCCACCACCACCACCAGTACGTCGCTCTTGCTCCAGTTTCTCAGCCGAACATTTTTGGAATAGAACGGTTAATTGTTTGACGGCCGGTGCGTTGCAGCTCTCGGTCCCACCGATCAGTGCTATAACTGCGCCTACAAACCTCGACGACAGTTTCCGCAGCGTGAGCAGCCGCTGTGCAATGAGGATCTGTGGAAGTTTGCCCATTTTCAGATTATGGACGTGCCACTGCCGGAGATGACCACCTGTGCGGCGGGGCGCTGCAGTCTGTCGCTGAGCTACGCCAGTAAGTGGCCCGGTACATGGTGTCAAAAATGGGATACATACACTAAAACTTTCGCTTTCGCGCGCTTTGAATCACTTTTTTGTAATACTTTACGTCTAAAGCTAAATGATTTGTACACATTATTCTGAAAATCGTTTGCGCGCACAACATCCGGTTGCCGAGATATGCCAAACTAAAATGGGCGAAAAGTTTAAATGCATTGTTTTGTACCAAAAGTTTGATTATTATCCGATCTTTTTGGAACTTTGCTGTAAAAGACCTATGACCTTAAAGTCTAAAGTGAACCAGTTTCCGGTCAAATGATTTGTGTACACTGTACACTGCCGTGAAAACCGTCCGACTTGCTTAAAAATGTCTGACGCAATTAAAAAACTGACCCGGTTGTTGCGTGGCTGTAGAGATTTTCGGCGACCCGACCGATCCGCCCACCTCCAAGGTGGCCTTCGCGCTGGGCTGTCTGAGTCCGAGCACTCCGCTGAATTTGTGCCTGGCGTACTCCTACGCCAACGGCAGTGATGGCCGCGTCGAAGGCGGTAGCGACAGCTGCTTCCACTGCGGCGGCACCGGCTGCAACATCAAGTTTTTGACCAAGTACTTCCGCTGGTTCGCCGACACCGCCGCTGCCGCCGAGAAGACCGGCCGGCCGCCCACCAAACTCCCGGACTTCTACGCGACGACCACGCCGTTTCCGTATGACTACGACGAGGAAACGACGGCGGCCGCGGAGAGGGTGCTGGCGTTACCTTTACCGTTAATCATTCTTGCATTGCTGGTTGTTTTGTGGTAGTTTCGAGACAAAACACGAAAGGTCACATTATACAATATTACGTATATATTATTTTTTTGCTCGGATTTTATTTAGAAATACGTATCATTATTTCTTATTTTTATTTATTTTCATGTATGCATCAGCTTTTGTAGAAAAGGTCAACGTGGAATGTGCAAATTTTGCTGCAGTACAGGGTTGAGGACGGTGACCTTTATTCACTTCCGTAGTTTGTTTGTAACCGTGTGTTTTGCTTCGATCTTTAACCCATACGATTATTTGTTCGGTTTTTGATTATTGATACCTGTAGTGATTATTTCTCCGTTTTTTGTTCGTTTATTTTTTGCAATTTCTTCCTGTTATTTCTGATGCCGAACAAGACCGAGCAACTCACTATGCACATGTTAAAGCTGTAGTCTACGCTATGATATAGAAAAGGTCATCGGTAAGGTCACAATTTATTATACAAACGATCAGCGTAAAGGTCACAATTTTGTTGTACGAAAGGTTAGCGTAGAACATACGAGAAACAACAGAAAAACACGGCTGCCGGCGGCCGTTCGCTGCAGCGCGGAATTTAACACCCCATCGGCGCGGGCGAAATCCGTGGCTTTGCTGAGGAAGACGGCCAGGTTCTCCTCAAACCGCCGGGTCTGGCAGGGATAGCCGAATATCTTGTTGGCGTAGTAGTCGCGATCGTCGCACTTGAAACACAGCATACTCTGGCCTTGCTGCAGGTTCAGCGCGGCCGACGCGTTCAACCGCGTGATGAAACTCCCCATGCACTGCCCTTCCGGGAAGCAGTCCATGCGGTAGCCGTAGTCGGGGTACTTGTCGGGATTAACTGGAAGTACACGCTCGTTGGCGGGGTATACAAGACCGCTGATTTATCGTAAAATGGAAGAAATTATCAATCCAATTTATTTATCATAATCATTCGGCGAAGAATTAAATTTATGGCCCAGACTCCAACTCTGACTCTTACTCTGATTCTGACCACTCAAACTCTGACTCTGACTACTCCAAGTCTGACTCTGACTCTGAAGGTTTCTTAATAGGTTTCTTAGGTATCTTTGGTTTCTTAGGTTTCTTAGGTTTCCTAGGTTTCTTAGGTTTCTTAGGTTTCTTAGGTTTCCTAGGTTTCTTAGGTTATTCTTAGGTTAATCAGTCAGAGTCAGAGTTTGGACAGTCAGAGTCAGACTTTGAGTAGTCAGAGTCAGAGTTTGAGCGGTCAGACTCTGAGTCAGAGCCAGAGCTTGGGCGCGGGCCTAAATAGATTACTGCCATAATTGTAGTATAGTGGCTACTATATTGCGCTTAATACGTTCTACCTGTACCTTTACGCAGGAAATTCATAACCGTGTTTGTACACACTACACAGTACAACCGTTGTGTAGAAAGAAATGCGCGTACTTGCCGTAGTAAATGAACTCGGTGATGCAGACGAAGCCGGCCGCCTCGCAGGACCGTTGGAAGCGGAAGCCGATGTTCTCGGGGGTCGGTGTCGCCGGGCACAGGCCGCGGTTGGCGGTGAGGGCGGTGAAGTTGTGCGTGCACTGCTGGCACTTTAACGGCCCCGATGCGTTGTAGCGCTGACACCATCCTGCACAATAAGCCCGATTCTTATTAATAATGCACGATTTGGATTTACTCTGCCTTTTATATCCGTCTGCTTTCACACGATGCGTTTAGAATTTTAAATGGTTTTTGTGTCATTTATTCGAAATTCGTTTAATACAAATAGAAGTAGTGCAGAGAAAGCCGGTTGTTAACGTGGAATTTTTAAACCGCTCTGGATAAAATCGGAATTAGGCTGCCCGCACCGGGCGGTTGCAACTGCGTCAAGCGACGGAAGCGTCAGCGAATTTCCTTCCTTTGAAATGACCAGATTAGACGTGTTCGTGAAACATAAATTAATTGTGTCCGACAGGAACTGGATTTCCACGGGAATACAAGTTACTCTAAGGAAATCGCTTATGCGCGTCAGAAACTGCGATAACCGAAGCGACTTCCTGCGCCCGGCAGTCAAAATACCGCGAGTATCAAAGGTCACCGATTTTCGGTATAATACGCTGCAAAGTTTCGTAAGAACTACGACAGGATTAAATTAGTTTCAGCATAGTTAACCTACCGGGAAGCGTGTGGGATAAAATGCTGACGATGAAGACATATATGTGAACCGGCAGCATATTCCCCATAAAACTGCCAGGCGCAGCCGAACAGTCAACGTCCCGGAAAGAAATGAAGCGGGAACACGGTCAGCTGGCGGCGTCATGTAGTGCGCTGTCCGGTCAACGGTTATTTAGCTTTTCCACAGGAAAATGTCCGACATCGCGTTGCAGCGACGGGCAAAGACTAAGTCACTGTATACAGTAAATACGGAAAATACTGATTTTTACGCACTTTCCCATTCAGCCGACTATGTATTCGGACCTGTCCAGTGTCATCGGCACGAAAATCAATAAAACCTTAATCCATTCAGTTATACCAGTGCCGGTAGCTATGATAGTTTTAAAGGTCACTTGTGGAAAATTAAACGGCGAATTGACACAACCATCTCATTTTGAAAAGACGTAATTTCAAATATTGTTTTTAAAATATTCGGTTTGTGGATTGCTAATAGTGTGTTCGACGTAGCAGAAAATAAATTAAGCGTTTATTTACAGTTTTTAATCTGCGCAGCGCTGTGTGCTAAAGCCTTGTAATGCTGTATTTATGTACAACGGCACGTTGTCATGGCGACGACAACAAACGGCGCAATTAGTGCGCTGCCTGTTCGATCAGCGCAAAGTATAATTCTGCTTGAGTAATTTCGTACTCGTATTGAAAATACCGAATTTAATACCGAATGCAGTCGCTGCGGCATGACAATCACAAAGTCCAGTAAAACAGCCAAAGAAAGGTCACCATCATCGAAATACATCTACAGCCGATACGCGCCAACATTGTGCCGGAAAGCTACAAAACCAGAAATAAACATGTATGCCACGGGGTTTCATTGGGGAGCCGCGTGCGGTACATGTGCTCATTTGCGCGCCGCCGGGAACATCCGTCGGAAGATGCGCTTGAACGCTTTGCGAAAGTCCAGATTGAAGATGGTGTAGATGATCGGATTCAGTGAACTGCGGGAATGTTAGCCAACGGATAGAAATTATGAAATTTGTATAAACGCGGTTTGCTGCGCGACTGACCTGTTGAGAAATCCCAACCATAGAAAAAAATTGGCGGTCCGCGCGTCCATCGGGCACGTATCACAAAACGGAGCAACCACATACTGCAATTTATTACAGATCATAGTACAATTGTTTTACCCACTAAAATATCCAACAAATAATATCCAATAAAATATCCAATAAATAAATATCTAATGAAATGTAATGCAGTGTTAGTTTACTGTTTTAACCGAAAGTTAGTGCGTATAAGATTAAAAGATATTATTAATTAAAGATTAATATAGCAAATAAAATGTAAATTAAAAACAAGCAGTTGCTTAAAAGATTTATTTCTCTTTAGCGATATTTGTAAACTTAAAACTCCATGCTGTTCACAGTGACCTTTATGTTGCTTACCCATACAAAGAAGGGAAGCCAGCAAATGACGAAGACCAGCACGACAATCAGCAGGGTCCGCGCGGCGCGCCGCTCCTTGGTCAGGGAAATCTTCTGTCTCTGTGCTAAGCTATCTGCAAACAGCGACACCACTGACCATTTCCGCCTAACAACCAGCTAACACAGCGCTTACGTTTGACATCATCGGTAGCGGCGTTGGACTGCGTGGACGGAACGTGCTTCTTCACCGCCGCTTGAGCATTCTTCCCCACGACGACGGTGGCGCCGCCGTGGGCGTGCGCCTTATCGGCGTTCTTGGCGATGGATTTGGGACGGATGTGCTTTGGTACAAAGAGCCGCGCCGCCGACTTCCCGGGATGCGGTGGACCGCGGCTGGCCGCGCCGTTGACGAAGCCGGGCAGCTCGTCGGTCATCGGGGTTGTCGGTGTCAGGCTGTCTTCGGAGACGTCGCCCTGCGGGTTCTTCTCGCCCTGCAACGCAGTCCGTTAATAAAATTTCTTAGATTTCGGAGGCTGGTTAGTCGTTTGAATTGCTGTGCGCAGTTTCCGTTGATATCGAAAGTACAACAAGCTGTAAACTATAATGATTACAACCGCCCTTCTCAAAAATTCAGCATCTGATGTTTTTCTACAAACCTTTTTGTAAACCATGGAGTGGCTTTAAAGGAATTCGTTAAGGGGTGGCAAAAGATTCTGGAGCGTACAGTGCTCGGTAGCAAGCTTAAACAAAAGTGTCTCCCATAGACTTATATGTTAAAAGCTACCATCCGAAGAATGTGGTTGCCTAGAGCGCGGATCACGTTGGGTCAGATGTTATTGATTCAAAAGACGGGAGAAAAGGTCCACTAGAAAACCACAATATTCTTTGATAGTTCTCACGCATCCAAAATTTTTAAAAAATTATTGACTGGACATGAATTTTTCCTATTAAGCAGTGCGAGTTTTGGGGCAAATTTGAAAGTAAAAATTCCGCTTCCGTTCCCTGCGTATTAACTTCTGCCGCAGAAATACGTATGACTAAAACAGTTTCTCTAGAACACGAACTATCATAAAAAAATAAGAAAACGATTATGTGGTTCAACGGTAGCAAATGGGAATATTTTGTTACTGCCCACACTTGGTGCGATCGACCTGTACATATACATTATTTATTATACATATCTATTATATGTATGTATGCAGAAACCAGACATACGTTTTATATTGCACACCATATACCATACGAAAGCATATATTTTATATAATAATTTTATATATCGTCATATTTTATATATACTAGTAACAATGTTTAGGTAATAAAGGCGCTGGCTTTATTCATTGGGCTTACCTTGAGCAAGGGAACCCGTTGCCGGCTGGCCTCGTGGCAGTTGGAGGCCGTCCGGGACCGCGGCGAGGGCGCCGTCAGGTCGACGATGGGCGACAGGGTGGAGAAGTCGTCGTCCATCACCTGAAAGCTGGAGGTGGTGAGCGAGGTCTCCTTCAGCAGTTTGTCCTGTGTGCGCTGGCAGGCGCTGCAGCGGCTCTGCATGGGGAACACCAGCAGTCGGCGGTGCAGGCGACGGTGTTCGGCGGTCAGGTGCCGGCGTAGCTGCCGCGGCGTCAGATGGTAGTCCATCAGATTCCCGCTGGCGCTTAACACCAGCGTGTTGGACGCTACGTCGGATTTATCCGGCGAATCCATGGACGCCATGTCGTCTGTAATACCAACAAGATTAAACTCTTAACGAGCGAGAGAGTTTCATTCCGGTACTACTATAAAAAATTACTATGAGAATTCCCGTAGGTTTCTTGTCCTCCGCTTGGTAATATACTCAACTAGTAAATTTACTATGTGACAGCGGCGCCACCTACTTTGCGGCGTGGTGACCGGCTTCATTTTGGCGGCGGCTGGCGCGTGGTTTCCCGCCGCCCGTTTCCGCAGCCGGCGGCGCGCCGACAGGAAGATGGTGAAATACACAGTGACGAGAATGACCAGGGGGATGTAGAAACTGCCCATGGAGCTGTAGATGATATACCCCCGTTCGCTGTTATACCCGCAGATGTTCGGATCCTCCGGCATGTCGTTCCAGCCGACCAGCGGCGGAATGCTGATCAGCGCGCTGATAATCCAAGCCGCCGCGATCATCCCCAGCACCAGCGTCAGGTTGCGGGTCTGTGCGTACTTGATGGGGCAGTGGATGGCGAAGAAACTGCAACAGGTGACCTTTACCAACGTGAACCACAACACAACACACCGGATATTTAAGAAACGACAAGTGCATTGTTTATCGCTAAATTTAGACATTAGCTACTCGATGCACTCAAACACCGACACACCGAAAACCAACACCGCGCAGCAACGCGAGGAGGCGTCCATTAGAATGCGTAATTGCCGCGATACTCGATCGGGAATGCCACGCGGCTGCCAAGTATGCTATTAGCGCCGCTTCGGGCTCAAGTAGCCGCTAATGGGCAGATATCGGCGCACTGCCAATAGTATTGTATTTAAACGCCCGAGTATCAGGCTCAACAGCTTAATGGACACCGCGCGCAAGAGGGACTGCCGCGATCGCGTCAAGTGCGTGAGCCATCTTCGCGTCGGTTTTCTCCTCGCTATACGCCGTTAACTCTGCCGAACAACAAACACGGCAGTTCCGTTCGTTTACTGCTACACCGGAAAGACAAACATGTTGTCGTCACACGCAAAGGTCACGCACACTGCCCTTTTCGTGGCGGAACTGAATGGACGTATTGCGTAAGCGCGGGATTTCAGGTACACCGCCATACACACCGATTGAATCACTCTGTGCGATGGATCATTCGGTCGATGGAGAACGCATGCCGGGCCGGTCAGCGTAATCCGCGGGGTTAAATCGCGCGTGCGTAATGCCGGGCGATGGAGCGGCGCAGATAGGCTCATCACTGGCCATGTTACACGGTACACGCGGTCTTTGTTAGACCGGCCATGCGTGAGCGTGCCGTCGTCCCCGGCATGTATCAATTTGCTGCATGCAGCCAGCTGGAAGAACCCGCACATGCATGACAGCACGCGTCCGGCCGCACACCGCCCCGCCGCGGCGGCCACCTGTGCTACACTCTTTTGCAAACCGTTAGCTCGATTTTAATTTTAAAATTACTCTGATTTGAGCTGCTTCCACGGGCGGTAACCTGTGCTACACTCTTTTATGAACCGTTGGCTCGATTTTAATTTTAAAACTGATTAAGAAGGGAGCAGCGTGCACGAGCGGGAGCAACAAGCGCTATGTTACGTCACGGCTGTATTATAAAGCTCAATCTTTAATCCACTAAAATCGGACGATTTAACGTCAAACACCGGGCGCACGCACCCGGCCGAGAATTAATTAGGAATGGAGAGAAAAAAGCGCCCGTAAACGCCTGGCATGCGTGCTTCAATCAGCTGTCCTTGGCGCGTCCCGTAAATTCCCGGGATGGAGTTGTTGTGCGTGGAGGCGAATGAATAGCGGATTCATTAAATATGCAGGCGCCGAGTGTGATGGAGTGCCGGGCCGGGGCCAATCAATACTGAGCGCCCCGGCTATCATGGCGCCATTCAGCTGGCTTATCAACAAATCAGCCCTCAATCCCGGCCAGCGCGCCGAGCCCGGGACAAATTGCGCGCAGCAGCCATAGAACAAAGGTGAGCGATTGTTGCGCACTTGATCCGCGGAGTGATTGCGCTCAGCTCGGGATTATTGTATGGAAAAAAAGGACTGCATTCTGTGTATGTGTGTGTAAATTACGGGGATCGATGGAGTGAAGAGGCAGCAGACAGATCAGAAATGATCAATCGATGGGCAAATGAAATTTGGCCATCTTGTAGGTCGTTGGATGAGTGTTTACCCCGGCTGTGGAAAAACGGTATACGCTATGTACAAGACACAGCGTAATACATACACTGTGCACACGTCCCCGGGGAGCGTGTAGTGCCCGGGCTCCAAAAAAAGATGAAATGATTGCCAGCGCGTGCGCAGATCCCGCGGGACACCGGATAAACGGCCTTGATCGCCGGGCGCGGGTAAACAGCTTTACCATTGTGGCTCCATGTATATTTCCTTTTTCTGTCTTGGATTATGGCATTGTGGTCGGGGCGCCCCGGGGGCCTGTTTCGCTGGGCGGCCGGGGAGTTTAATGTATTTATTAAACACTCCCCAGACTGTACTGTCCGCCTGCTGTAAAGGCCTGCTCTCGTCGCTGCAATGACCCACATTTCGCTATTCATCCGCTGTCCCATCGATCAGCTCCACTCTGATTGCATCGCTCGTCCCCGGGTCCATCAGCTTTTCCGCACAAGGCCAGTGGAAGAAAGGGATGATGAGAAATTTCCCATTATCGATGCTGGCGAGAGGCTTTATTCAGGGCTATTCAGTATTCAGCGCTGACAGGCTGCGTATGGCAGAGCGCGAGACGCTGTATAGTGTAATGAATAAGGACGCAAGATGCGCCACGTGATGTTGACGTCACGGGCAGTCAATTATAGCTGCTGCAGACAAAGAAGGGTGAAACAGACTTCCACCTGTGCTGCTCTATGCACACACGGCAGGTCAACGGTCAAGCGCAGATATCCGCATATCCGGGTACAGCGTACATACAAGCAGCGTACAGGAGCTGCACAGCTCGTACAAGCACACAAGCGAATGGTCAAGCGCATATCCGGGTAGACGTACGACTGCCGTGCTAATCGTACAAGCCGATGAGTCACTGGTCAAGCGCAGAGCTGCTTTAAAATATCCGGATAGACGTACAACGGCTACTGCAGAAATGTCCACTTGATCTGCGCTCATAGCTGATTATTGCACTCGTACAAGTACAAGTCAACCGAAATTTATACGAGTATTATTAATTATCCGAATTTATATTCTACAGTAGCGTATAACCGAAATATCCGTACACGTACACCTGCGCATTCAATCAGCTGACTGCCTGCGCCGCATGTTCGCATTCACACCGCGGAAGCAAACAAACCGCCTCGTGGAAACCGTGCTCCCGCCGTGCTATGACAGACAGTCGTTTGTATGAAAAATGGCGGGCGCAGCATCCACAAACACACACGGTGGGCCGGATGAAATTGGCCGCTTCCTGGATGTAATGCGGTTTTGATGGCCGCTGACAGCCTACCAAACCCACCGCACACAGCAGGGCCACCGTGCTCAACTGACAGAGCATTTATTCACGCAGCAGGCCCGCGCGGGCGGGCGGCTGGACGTGTCCCTCTTATTCCCCTCAACTGTCAGCGCCAATTAATCACGGCACCGCGCTCATCCATCAGCCTCGTCACGCCACCTGCGGAACTCGGCGCAATGGAAAATTAACGCCGCGCGGCCGATAATTAGCCCGAACGCCGGTTGCCGTCTCGTGCTGCGCGTTTCTGGCATTAACCGCTGTGTGCGTCAGAGTGCATTTTTAAGCAGGGCGGAAGTGCATATTTTTAGCATACCGGGTTGTGGCGTATTTAGACGAAGGTCAGCTAATGAGCGCGGTTCGGGTGTCAAGTTGTGTGCGGCGGCTCCATCAGCGGCCGGGGCCGCGGCCGGTAATTACGGTTGTGTCCGCACCGCGCAACACGCCGTCTTTCAGCGCTCGTACAGGGGGAATTAAGCGTGCGCTGGTCTACGCGGGGCATTTATTTGCCGATTGCGCGCTGTTCCCGCGGAAGAGACGCAGACCGGGGCGATAAAGACGCGGGCCCAGCAGTTTAATTGAGCGCGCACGACGCGCAGTCAGTGTATTTACTGGCCTGCGTGTACTGTGTGTAATATCCCTGCACACACTGGCAAAAAGGCCCATCAATATCCCGGCTCGTCAGTTGAGAAATTGTAATTGACTTTACGCTCTCATAAATCTGGACCCTCTCTCATTCGCTCTGCCTGGCAGCCAGCCAAGCCAATTACAGCCAGCGTGTTTCCTCTATAAACAAATTTGCGCGGGACCCGGCATTACAGTAACATGGTGGCCCGTTCCCGCCCCAACTAAACGCCAGGAATGACGCTGGTCACCTGGGTTTGTTGCCTCTTTTAAATAAGACAGACACTGCTTTATCCCGCGATGCCGTATTTAGGTAAATAACACAAGACGCTATGCAGATGTGCGGTCTCTATTTCCAGCGGAATATGGAAGCAGGAAGTGCGTTGAGTGGCGTTAAGTACGGCGCAGGACTTCCTGTGCCCTGGCTGGGAGATAATGCACATGGCTAATGGAGACGGCAGCCAGTGGGCCATAATGACATTAGCGGGAGTTCGCTCATCCGCGGCCGCAACGGCCCGGCCTAACGATCTGTGCAGATGCTGCGGCCGCGGCCACGCTTAATGACGCCGAAACAAACCCCGTAATTCTTCGCCCGATCGATCGCCATTAAGCCCAGCGGACCGCGGCCGCGATCCGACGTCATCCTCACCGCGCGCGGCCGCGAAGCCACGTGTGCGGCCGTGGCATCATTAATTAGCGCCCGGCCAACAAGCGCCCCGGCTGATTGCTATTTATGGCCCGGCGTAAAAATAGTCGAAAATTCGCCGGTTCGATCGATGCATCAATACTTTACGCACACACACACACGATCAACAAGAAACACGGAGCGCTTGTTTACGCGGCAATCGATGGATAGATTAAACGGGACTTACCGGTCCAGTGCGATGGCCACCAGATGCAGGATGGACGCCGTGCACAGCAGGACATCGCAGGTCACGTGGAACAGGCAGAACTCCCGTCCGAAGATCCACCGCCCGATCAGCGTCGTCGTAATGGAGAACGGCATCACCAGCACGGCCACCTGCGGTCAGACGCACAGTGCAAAGTGTTTCTTTTGGGTTGTTCACATTAACATTGGTTAAACTCAAAATTACACAGTTCTCATCATTTCCACACATAACACACTTCATCCAGTTTCTTACCGATACAAAACGTTTCCTGAACACAAGCAGCGTTACCTCGCATTAAAGCAACACTGATTCTCTGCTTCACACGCACTTATACTTGGAAATTCATTTCGCCGTGATGATAATCACCCGTAACGGCGCGGCGACCTGCGGTCACACGCACAGTTATACTTGGGAAAAGGCTTTCTCCGTGATTATAATCCCACGTAACCGCACGGCGACCGGCGGTCAGACCGACTCACACGCACCTATTATACTTGGGAAAATGTTCCCTCTCCAATGTATTTATTAATCATGTTTCAGGGGAATACGGCGCGCCTGCGCCGAACGGCACAGCGATCGATCGCTGCGCTGCCATTGAGCATAATCTGCAAATTTGATAGCCTGTTTTCCCGTACATACACTCAACACTATCAAAGCGTAATAAGCGCCGCGTTTTGCCTCTCCCCGTTCCTCATCCACAATGCATTAACCGACGGGAATAACAGACAGTCACAACATGAATAATAACAATCACAGTAATGATAATTGCATCATCATCATTCATACCGAGAAACAGACAACACAGAGCATAACTCTCTCCCTAATTGGCTGCACGCGCGGACACGTCGGTTTAATTGTATTCGGCTGTTATGCTGTGCGGCGGAAAGTGGGCGCTGTGCACAGATATAATTAATGATGGCGTAGATCGCGCGCGAGCCAGGACACATAATCTTCTGCCAGTGCACGGCACACCGATCGATAACTCATCAGCTTAGAAAAATATTGCATTTCTCATTTTCTTGCCAGTCGCCGCGGCATTGTGTGGGCCAACCGCCCGTGCTGTAGCCCGCACGCCATGTCAGTGGTATCGCTGACAGGAAGATGCATTTTCTTCACACCTGCCGGTAAAGGCATGCTAATGCCTCATTGCACCCCGCTTCTTACCTAACCGCGCCGCCCGCTTGCCTCGGCAATAACCTCCATAATCGGCGCAACAGCCGAACGTTGGAATGCCGATTCCCTGAACCGCCGGAAATAATCTTGCTGGTATTAATGTCATTTAATTATGCGGACGCTAATGGGCCACACGATACCGGCATTAGGAGAAGAAAAAATTCATTAAAATTATTCCCTGAATATGTCTATAAAAATCCACAGGCGCAGTAAAAGCGAGCTTGATTCTTAGTGCAATGTGGGAATAAAAACATCTGATTCCGAGTGTCTAATTAAAACAAACCATTGCGATAGCTGGTGATCGGTGTATAAAACAAAAATGCTAAAATATCAGTCAGTGAGTGGTTCAAATATTTAAATAATAAAATTATTAAATAATGTCAAACATATGCGCATAAATTGCCGGCATTGGATTAGAAACAGTAACGTTAGCTTGTACAAAACCAAGCATTTCCTTTGTAAATATTATTGTGGATTATTTGGCTTTTTCACAGGTTAAAGTTTCGTTCATTATCGGAATTAACCAGACTACAATTTTAAGAAAATTTGCTGTTCGGAAATTTGATAATAAAATTAGGAAAAAGTCCGCATAAATGATCAGCGCAGAGAAGTACCTGTTCGCGCAATATGCGTTAAGACACAGCATCTCCTTTTTTGATCCTATGTACATTATATTGTGTGTGAGCGCAAAAAAGATGTCCTGGTTATTCCTGGAAGAGTCAAGAGCCGGCAACAAAAGGCCGGCACAGGCACGTGTGTTAAATACTCGATCGACAACACAAACACTAACACGGTGTGTTAAGCGCCGGTCGATGGGGATTGATGGCAAGGTGAGAGCGGGCCCGCCGGCGCCTGTATCGGCTGCTTAATTACGCGGCTGATCCGCGTTTTTTTCTCTCCCTTTCCCAAGCTTTACACACTGGACAGCCCGCGGCGGCCAATCTGCTCGGGCTCGTTAGCGCCGGCCGCGGCCGTAAACACGCTGTGTCTTCGGGGCGCACCGGGGCGGAGCCAACCGCCCGAATCCGGGACGCACACCAACACATGTGTATATAGCGAAGATGCGCGGCTAATCTAATTGCCTGTAAAAGCGCGGACAATAGCCAGGGCTGGGAATTATTGATCAAGGACGGGATGCGCGCTGCCCGCTTTTCAGCTAATTATCATCCCACTCCGTCGGATGGACTCGGCTGCGGCACGATACGCGCTATTATTCGCGGCCAAATCAATATGATTGTGATTGTAGAAATTTGTATACGGCCCGCAACAAACACCGTGTATTCGCGTGAATGACGCGGATGTTGTTGGGTCTAAGAATATACCACCCCAACATCCGACCTGAATGATATAATATCATCTTTGCTCACATTTAAATATCTGTGCCAGCGATCAGCACACTAAGCTATATAGCGCTGCTATTGCGCAATATACGCGTTAAAACGCAGCATCTTTAAGATTGTACACTGCGCCGATCATTTGGCTATTTAGCAGGCTAGAGCGTTTTTATGCCGCAGCCAATATCAGCCGCGTTTAAGCTGCGTCTTGGCCCCGGAAATCCCTGATACCGTAATTAAGCCGGGGCAGCGCTAGCTAACGGGCCAGACGCATTAAATGTCTTGACAAGGGATGTGGGTATTATGAAGAAAAGCGGGCTAATAGCGCGCCCGGCTGCTCATTTGTTTATTGCTAATTTACACCGTACAGCGAGCGCGCGGTTAACGATCGATGCCCTCGTTGAGCGCGGCGCTTGAACCAACAGTCAGGAAGAGAAAAAGCAATAATCCCGGGGAAGATGAGTTACTTCCCATCATCCGCTTAAGCACACTGTGCACAGGTAATGGTCAGAACGTAATGTAATCATCAGCTAGGGACACTTGCCGGTGTCTCGGTTGCCGCTTTTTCCCTTAATGAAATGCGCAATCGGGGCACCCATATACTTGAGTATATATGGGGAAATAATTAAGCAGTTAATATTATTATCCGGCTTCCGCCGCCAATCCTTTAAATTCTTTCTATCAACCATAACATTCTTTAGGTCAGTTTTGCGTATGCCTTTATATTCTTGGTTAAGTGAGTTAACCTGTCCTGATTCTACCACCACAAAGTGCGTTTTGGCTTCTCGTGTACCGTAATAATAATAATGATAATAATAATAATAATAATAAATGGGCCGTCATAATAATAATAATAAATTGGAAATTTTTTCCCAAAATTTTGTACGTTTTGTGCGTTTAATTTTATGACAGCGTAAGAAATTAAAAGAGCGCTTACGAGAATATCCGCGATGGCCAGCGAGACGAGGAGGAAATTCTGGACAATATACAGTGCCGGGTGGGTGAAGATGGCCAGGACGACCATAATGTTCCCGATGGATGCCGTCAGCATGATGATCACCTACAGTAAACAGGAGGCGTGTTTACAGGCCGTGCGCCCGGGGCGGGCCGGGGTTAATGGGTTAACTGCGTGCAGCGCCAGCATAATAATAATAATAATAGTAATAATAATAATAATAATTAGTCTACCCAGATGATGGAGGCCAGGACGGCCTCGACGGGGCCCATGTACAGCTGCGTCTGGTTAGCATGGCTGGTGTTCAGCGCGACGGCGGCGGCGGTGCTGGTCAGCGGCAGTGCGGCGCCCGTGTCCGCCTCATTCATGGTCGGGTTCATTCATCACCCGGCCTGCCGCGATGATTAATGACCGGCCCGCGATAAATGAATATGATACATATATATAACCGTCCAATGCGCGAAAGGTCAAGTTACACGGTAAATGTCGACGGACATGTTGTGTGCTGCTGGCACAACAGGAAGCGTAATTAATGCAACGGGGAATAAACCGAACAGCGCGCGCAATGAATGGCGAGGCGTTCTGAGGATAAATGATGGCGACACCGGCGCAGCGCAATATGAGGATGGATGTTTTATCGTGGAGGGAAAGGAACGCAGTGGCGAAGAAAAGCCATTCGTCTCCTATTCAGCAGCGCCTGTACTGTTATTCCCAGCCAATGTTAACCAGCAATGTTGAGCAGTGTTTGTGTAAAAATAGCCAAAGCAATCTAATTGACAAGTCAAAAGTTTTGCTATCTATCCCTGCATCCTGCCTGGGCCGGGTGGCTGGAGTGAGACGGAAGCAGCGACCAGTCGTCGACAGATGAAGAATGTAAGTAACGCTATACTGCCGCGCCGTGTACAGTATAACCGGGGGGCGGGACCGCGGCGCGGGATTGGCCGCATGCGGTTTAATGATCTCGGCGCTTAGCGCGTGCGCGCCTAATCTGCGCCTGCCGATCACCGGCAGCGTACGCGCGCGCCTAATCCCCGCGCTGACAACTCACCACGCTGATGCGCCCCAATTCCCCCCGGAAAATGGCCGGATGATTGTTGCCTTGTCCGCGTTTATCGTTTTTTAAGTTTCTTAGATTTTTTCGATTATCTACGTTTTTTTGCGGAATTCCTTTTTTTCAGATTTAAAAAGGTTTCTTAAAAGCCTCAGTAAAAAATTTAATTTCAGTAAAAAATAAAAATTTATTTCTTTACCGTCGCTGCATTCGGGAAACGAAGCTTCAATCGGTTTCTCGTTAAATTTTTCTTGGATTTCTTAACAGCGATTGTAAATGAACGGAGCAAAATGGCAAAAGCTTGCTTGATTTTGATTTTCAGTACGAACGCCGACCCGTGAAAGCTTTGCCTATCGATCCTTTTGCCTTTTGTAGCTTTAAAACGAATTAATATATATTTACCATTTTTGTATTAGTTAGTCCTATTTGCTGTTATTTTTTCGGGGTGCAGCGCGTTAATCGGTCTGATTAACGCCACACACCCCGAAGAAGAAAAAACATCAACAGCATTCTTTCTCGCGGACATAATCAGCTCGTTAGCGCCGTTGTTGCTGTTATAATCTTATACCGGCAGCTGTCAGCTGCGCGGCGGGGCGTGACGCATGGGAACGGAGCGCGGGAGCGAGTAAAAACTATAAATGCCGGACAGATCAGCTTTCCGGTCGCGCTGTGCCGAACATGAGCGGATGTTTGTTTAGAAGACGGCCGGCATTTTGTACCGGGTTACACCGTGCTGCCGTGGCGCGGTGATCTATCGGCGGACGGGATCACTTAACAGGGAGGCCACTCTGTTGACAGCGTAGCCCGTCTAATTTACAAGACAAACACCCCGCTGCTCAACGCTCAACAGTCAACACACCCGCTTAAAACACTGGCTGTGTGTATATTTTGCAGTGGTCGCGGTGATTCTTCCCCCACGCGTGGAATGAAGAAGCGTGGGCGGTTGGCCCGGGTAGTTTTAAGGGGCGGGACCGCGCCTCGAGTGCCGGCGCGCGCTTCCGCTGTGACGTCAGTCGGGCGCACTTGACGATCGTAAAGGCAGGATAACCGGCAGTAAATAGACAAGCACTCCTGATTGCTCCCGACCATCAAAATGTCTCGCGACGTTTTATGTCCTGCAACGTTGCTTCCAGGAATTCGGGAATATTTTCTGGAAGAAAAATCACCAAGATTCCTGAAATTTTTGATTGAAATGTTTTACGTTTCTTAGATTTCTTAGGTTTCTTAGAACCGATCTGCATTGGTTTCATTAATTCTGGGATTTTTTCCTGGAGTAAACAATGTAGTGTCCCGTTTCCGGTAACTTCCAAGAAAAATTTTTCTGGTTTTTAAAGATTCTCAGAATTATTAAATTTACTCGGCCTCGTCTTCCCGAAAGTTGAATTACTTCCTGGACGATATTATGCAAATTCCAATTTTCCGCAAACTTGTGCTTCATTTTTTTAGATCACTTAGGATTTTTATAATCCCTCGCTCGTGCTTCATTTCATGATTTTTTTACATAATGTTTTGATTTTTTTCTGGAAAAAAGTGCCCCATTTTTGGTAACATTCCTGGTTAAATTTTTTCCGTTTTTTAGTTTTCTGATGTTTCTCAGGTTTTTCAAAACCGATTGTTTTACTGATTTTGGATTTTACCATGGAAGAAATAATGTAGGATTGATTATATAATATTATTCCGGAATTTTTTTCAGGGATGAAATAAAGCGGTGTCCCGCTTAATTCCGGTAACCCTTCCTGGATTTTTTTTGTTTCTTAGATTTCTCAAGCTTTTTAGAGCCTGTTTTATACTGATTTTGGTTTTTTTCTGGGTGAAATAATGTAGGAATAAATATTATTATTCTGAATTTTTTTCCGGGAAGAATTATTGTGGTGTTCCGCTTCCGGTAAAATTTTTTGGTGGCTCTTTTCGTTTCTTAGATTTCTTAGATTTCTTAGAACCGATCGACCGCAAGAATTCCGCCGGCAGCGGAAAGGTCACTTTTGCCGGCCACCCGCGAAGACAGGTGCGGCATGGCGTGACGGGCCGAGCAGCTGGCGGAGCCGTTGGCCGTCCGCAGCCAGGGATGATCCCGATCCCGGCCATCCCCTCCATCCCATCCAGGCTTCCTTCCTTCCTTCCTTCCTGCTTGTGCGCTTCCTTCCGGCGGCCCGGCATCCCCATCTTCCCGGCTGATCCCGGCTTAAAAAACACAACCGCCGCTGTCAGGCGCAGATTGCGCGGCACGCACCGCGTCGCCGACATGCAAATGATCCGCGGATCGGAAGCCGTGGCCGGGATGGGGATAATGTATGACTATCAGCGCCGTTTAATCTGCCCGTGTATACGCATGCGGCTGCGCAGTGCGCGGCTGTAGCCGGCTTAATTGTCATGCATGTGCTGCACAATCCGCGCTGCGCGCTGCTTAATTACTCCGTTCCATCCCTGTTTATGCACTGGTACGGATGCATTTCCGGTTGCAGGAGAAATCTGAAAATTCCTCACTGCGCAGAAACATTTTGCGCATTTATTACGCGTGGAATTAAGCCACAAATAACATGGTATTTATCAACTAGAATTTCTCAGAAAAAAAATATACGCAACTCTGGCTAAAAATATAAATATTATGCGACTAAACAAAATTTACGCAGATTAGCATTGGAACAAAACAAAATTATTATTTTGTATTGGCTTTATATTGACTTTTATTTTTCATATTCTTAATTAATAAATGAAAATATTAATATTCACATCAAGCGACATTATCGTTTTTTATTGGCTTCGTATCGATTTTAAACTGACTTTTTGCGTTGAGTTCATATTGATTTTTTATAACGGCTTTATTAATAACTATAATATTGCAATCATGGCAAAAAAAGTAAACAAAATATGGAAATAATTTTTAAAATACTAAGATATAGAAAACCATAAAATTACCAGACTGATTTTTAAAATAACGAAGTTAAAATGCTAAAATTAATTATGGTTAAATACTAAAATATACTGAGTAATAACTGCAGAAATTTCCTTCACAAACACGTAATTAATATTGTTAAGAAAACTATTATTTTAAAATGTAGAATATTTTTTAAGTTTTTATAAAAATATGTATGATTAATTTCGATTGAAATGCGCGTGTTTTTCAGCGAAGACACGGACGAGTGGCACTGCACGAGGTTTAATGGGTAAATCAATGAGAATTACGTAAGCGTTTGATGGGGGAGAGATTAAACGTTAGCGGATGGTTGTTTTAAGGAGACTGGAGTGGCTGCACTTGCCGGTCGCCGATCGAGGGACGCGCGCCACGCTTGACAGTGACATTGGAATTACGAACCGGCCGGTCGCATCCCCACCACGTAGGTTACATGTACAGCCAGGGCACCGGAAGTCCGTTCTGGCGGCGATGCAGGAAGTTGTAGTCTTGGACAGATATCGCTGGTCTCTTGAACAACCGCCGGATATGTTGAAGGGTGAGCGCCCGCCGGCCGCGGCGATCAGCTGACGGTGGCCGGCAATCGGATACCGGCACGCGCGCTAATGAGCGCCAGCGCTCCCACCGCCCGCCACTTTTTTATACATTCCGCTGTTTGGTACAGTACATGCTCACCGGAAGTTCCCACGATAAATCTTCGCTTCGATATTGCGCAATCATGGACTAACAGAGACAGCGTTGAAGCAGCGGGTAAAAATGGAAAAAAATTGCGGTTGTTGTCGCGCTACTGTGCATAAAAAATAAACCGGCCAATCGGTTTCCGATTTAGAAATTCATAATTAATAACAAAATATGTAAACAATTTATTTAAATTTACAAAAAAATTGAGTTATGTTTGATAATAAAACTATAATGAAATGAATTTATAAAAGACAGAAATAAAAAAATATGATACATTAATATTGAATAATCAAAAATTTAATATAAATGAGAAAAATTTATATATGCAGAGTAATTTGCGAAATTATTTGCTGATTTGCGAATGTGTATTCGATTTATTTACATATATATAAAAAATTAAATTCCTAAATAAATTTATTTATGTATTTAATTTATTTATTCATACATTTATTAAATACATTAAATCAACAAATTTGTTTAATAAAAAAGCAATATATAGTAATTTTAATGTTTTTTTAATAATGTATTTTTATATATTTACAATATATATTATACTATATAGCAATATATAATGTTTCTTTTGTATTTTGCTTTTATGTATTTCCTTGCAAAAATAAATTATAAAAAAACATTGTTGCAGCAGAAATACAAATAATGCGCATAAATCGCCGGCATTGTCGAAGAGAGAAACGTTTGTATCGGAGCTTGTCAGATACTATGGATGTCGTTTACATCGTTCTGTTGGCAATTTTAACCAGACTCGACGTGTATATCGGGTACAATGGTTCATTTCTTCCTTGTCAGCCACAATTACGATTTACCTAACCGACTGGTCGATTTTATGGATTTAATCACCAGTGCGTTACTATTACATCGCACAGTTTCCTATGTACAGTTTTTGTGTCGGCCGATAATTACATTATGTACGTATATATATGTACACAATCTTTTAAAGGAATTTAAGGTCACAGACTATTTCCGGTATTTGTTATGCTATCGAGGTGTATGTCAAACAGACGCCGGTAATGGTTTAATGCTACCGGAATAATGGAAGAAAAGGTCAGCCGCCAGGCCAGCGCAGATTAACGACTTAATACAGCGCTGCGCGGAAGGAAAGAAATCCCTTGTAAAGGTGGTTGCATTGCAGGTATCGGCTTGCAGCGGAATTAAGAAAGACTAAGGTCACATGTATCAACCTAGAAATGCAAATCCGGCTTATGCGTGTACATAGTATACCGATGCATCCCGTTAAGAAAAATAGACATAAACAAATTCCATTTTTATTTGATTTATTTTTTTGTTGTATTTTTATTTTATGTTTTTTTTAACTATTAAAGTAGATTTAAACGTATAAAAAAATCATAAAGCAACTATAAATATATAAACATTTAATAATTAATATATTTAATATTCGCGTATTTAAGGAAGAAATTGTACATATTCATTATTCGCGTATTTAAGGAAGAATTTGTAAAAATGATAAATTTCGTTTTTAATAATGTTCTTAGGTCTTTATCTTTTTTTAGATTTAATTGCATCGATGTTTTTGGCCTAACAGTTTAATCGCGGTGCGGTGCATTCTGCAGAGTCAACGTTATTTTTATTGATTTTCTTTTATAAATTCAGAAACAAGTTTGATTTATAGGCATTATAAAAATTCAAGCTGGGAATGTTGCAACCGGCTTAAATTCCAACAAAATCTGGGCAAGTGTTTTCGGGAGTGTCCAGTTAAAGCATATTCGGCATCTTAGGTTTCTTGGGTTTCTTGGGTTTCTTAGATTCAGCAGGTGGCCGCTTTGCAGCGGTCAATATCCCAGGCGTTCTGGCCGACGCCCTGGCACAGGCAGACGCCGCGGGTGGCGGTGCTGGGATTGCGGACGCAGCTCAGCGGCAGGGCGGTGGCGTTGCGCAGCTCGCCGCAGTCGCTGCTCGTCTTGCAGCACATACCCACCGCCACTGCAATCAGTAAACGTTAAATACCAAATATACATTCACAGGATTTCTTATACATGAACACGGTAATTTTATTAATGATTACTATTATAGGACAAAATTATTATTTGTGCAAATAATGTTATGAATTTATGGTTTATTTAATATTAATCAATACCGGATTGAATGAATTAGATTATTTTACATTGTTATATTAATTTGGACTAATAATTGTTAATACTAAATTACTAATTGATAAATAATTTTCTTAAAATTTTCTTGCGATGTGCTTGCAGTGTTTCTTCGAATCGGGATGCGTTTATTTTGTTTCAATTCATAATCTACATATTGTGAAATAAAATTAAATTAAATGGCAGCAAATTACTTAACAAAAATTATTATGGCGCTTACGTTGGCAGCCGTTATTGCTGCTGGTAGCTTTATGGTAGTCCTGGCAGAGACAGATCCCGACGGCGCCGCCGCCGCCCCGCTGGCAGACGGCCCGCTCCGGACAGTTGCTGTCCGCCGTGCACCCGATACTTCCAATAGCCAGCGCTGTAATTTAATTCAATTTTTTACATGTATATTTATTAATATTAATTTTTAAGTATTTTAGTAATTAGTTTTGATATTTCGAACGAAGTAAAGTGAAATCAAATGCCATAAATTATTTTTATTCTGAATAATTCGTTCGTAATTTTGAAAACGCATAAAAAACATGGAATAACAATTTTTAATTTCATAAATAAATTATGAATTTATCTTTATAGATAAACTGGAAAACAATTATAAAATTATCTTCCATTATAATAAATTATAAGTGCATAATTTATGATTTAATGGGGCTGAAATAAAATAATTTAACATATAAATTAATAATAATGAACTGGCACCTTTGCAGACGCTCTGTCCATTGCTGCCGGGCTGCGTCATCAGCACCTGATTTTTCGGGCACTCGCACCGTCCCGTGGAGTTGCAGGTCGTCCCGCTGGCGGCCGGGCACAGGTTGGTGGCGTCGCATCTGAATGTCGCCAAATCTACAACGCAATTTCTACAATTATTAAAATTATACCGGCTTTTTCTGCAGAATTTAATGACCTCGACACTGCTGCCGGCCGACGAGGGGATCATACAGCAGCATAAATCCGCTCTTGCAGCCGCACGTGGCTGGCGATCCGGGGATGGCGGTGCACTGGGCGTTGGCGCCGCGGTCCTGCTTGCATTTCGCGTCGCCGTCTTTCAGGCAATCGTACACTACAATAAACCAATTTAAACTATTTTATTTTATTTTTTTATTTTCTTATCAAAATATAATAAAGGTGTTAATAAATAAATAAAAAATTCCTAAGATATATATTGCTGGTACATAAAAGTGACCTTTATTTTATTTTAATTAATTTAATTGATCTTTTTATTTTGTATGTTAGTATCATGAATTTAGTGTAATTATTAAATAAACTTCCGGCGGAAGTGGGCTCCATACCGCGGCATCCCGGAATTCCGCGGTCATAAACATACTCCGTGCCGCACTGGCACCGGCCGATCAGTTTATTGGGCTCCATCCGGCACACGGTGCTGCCGGGCGCCTTCCCCTCGTAATTCGCGCAATCCTCCGGGTACTCGCATTCGGCGTTGGTCGGATCGGGAATAGCCGACACCACTACATAAAATGCAACGCATCATATTATTAACCGGCATTAACTGATATAATAAAGATATATAATGATATATATTTTATTAATAAATTTTTTGATACATTTATCTAGTATTTTAATTCTACCGGTAGTACTAAATGTTTGTCTGAAGTCTGTACTGTAAAATAATATTAATCCCTTATTAAGATATTTAAAATACTAATTTAAAATATTTTATAAGAAATTGTTCAATTGGCATCGGAATGTGAAAAGGTCACGCAGACACACGGAATTAAATGATATTTTTGGTATTAAAATTTTCACACATTTATACAGTAAGCAATTTATTTCATGTTTGGTGTTTTAAAATAAAACTTTTATTTTTTAAAATAATATTAATATTTAAAAATATATTGTCAAAATTGTTTTAGCAACCGGAAGTGAAAGGTCTCTTACGGGCGCGACAGCGGTTGTCGTAGATGCTGCTGGTGGCCTTCTCGTAGCCGTTCTTGCACAGACAGAACTCGGTGTGCCCGGTGCCCTGGTTGCTCGGACTGGCGACGAGGTCGGCGACGGCAGCGCCGCCTTTGCACTCGGTGCCGCTGGCGCGACAGGGAATCCCGAAGGCTACCGAGCACCATTCGCTTAAGGAGCCGGCGCGCGACGAGAAGCCGCCGCCGGACGAGCCGGCCGAGGCGAAACCCTGGCTAAAGGTCACGTCGGCGTCCAGGGACAGATCGCGGTTCTTCTTCTCGACGTCCGGATCGCACACCACCAGCGCCACTATTCCCAACTGCAACGACCAATAATTAATAAAATTTAAAAATATACATAGATAAAAGTGTACCAACGAATAAACAAAATATTAAACAAATATAGAATTCGTGTAATAATTTTAACAAGATTAATAAAATAAAAAGTTATTCAAGTTACTTTTATAAATAAATGGTTCAAAAATGGAAATTCCATTCACAGCAAACGAAAAAATTCGCAGTAAGAATATCTTAAAAAAATAACAACTGTATTGAATAAATGGTCAAGAAATAAATTCGACAATATCATTATTAATAAAATATCGGCCAAAATAAATAGGCGATTTGATAGCGTATATACGAAATATACGAATAAAATCCCGATTAAAAGTTAAAAAAGCATAATAAATGGATATTAAATGAAATATATTTTACGATATTTTTTTAATAATAAAAATAAGGATTAAATAAATGGATTTACCACGATGGTGGCGGAGGCTGATAGGGAATTCCGGTGTGCCATGCTCAAATCAATAATAATCCGTAATCTGGTCGGCGGAGATGGTTACAAACGGCGCTCGACGGTGCACAGGTTTTTGTAACGGTTAAAGTGCGACGGAAAGAATTCGGAGCGGTGTATAGCGGCGTTAACGGTAACCGCTGCCGGATACAGTTGTAAAAATGGATGAGCCGTAAAATGTATGTGCGGCGGCGACGTTTGTTGGGCCGTTACACTTGGCCTTGCATACATGCGATTGTTGTTACGGATTGTTTGATTTGCTTTTTACGATGCTGATTCAGAGACGCATTACGTATACACCAGTAAAAATACAAAAAAAAAATTCCACGCGATGAAAAAGTATTAGAGAAACCTGTAAATTCTTTTAATTTACCGGAAAAATTTTAATTTAATTTTTTATACGGATAAATAGATATACTTATTTTTTAATACATATATATTATACATTTTTTATATTTTTATTTATTTCATAATTTTTATATTTTTTTAAATATATTTTCCTCATAATATTTTTACTACACATGGCTAAAAAATTGAGGAATACTTTGTCTCCGAATCAGACCAAATTTAAGAAGCTAATTAATTGCACCGCCATTTTTATTAAATATTTCTTTATGTACTCGTATATATTTTTTAAATAATTTTTATATTTAATATAATTTTTAAATAAGATTAAAATTATAGTTTTTCGATGTCCTCGGCAGATTTATATTGTTTCTATTATTTTCGGCATTCCTCAGCGTTGGTATGCGTTATGGCACTCCTGGCGGTGGAATCCCCAGTAAAAATGCGGTGTGTTGATGTAATGCGGGGTTTTATCGGCGCACGAGACTGGCGGCGCTGTTTAGGCAAATAGGCGCGTTAGGCAAATAGCCCGCGCGGCGTGCAAGGGTTAAACGGCCGTAAAATACCGGATGCTGCACTTATACGGCCGCCCATAACTCTTTACGACCGCCATCGTGCGCCACTCGCCACGCTCCACTTTCCCGCCCGTTAAAATTCCCCAACCGCAACGTGACGTCCACACCGCATGACCGACGCAATAACAAAATATTTCGTAATATTATTTATTAAAAATAATCGTTTAAATACTCAAAAAATTCAAAACAGCATCGGCAAAATTAAATACAGTTATTTTTAATATTAATAATTATGTTATTTCTGCACAAAAAACCGCTTGAAATTGTGTAGAAAATTTACACGACTTCACACACAAATTCCCAGTAATCAGTTTCGTGGGAAAAAGGTTACGCCGCACGCTCCGCCCACTTAACCAAAAAGCACCAATAAATTAGCGTAAATTTTAGTAACATTTTTCTACACAGGTGACAGGAATTGTGAAAAAAATTAAAACTGATTTTACACAAAAAATTCCCAGCAGTCAGTTGCGTGGGAAACATTTTCCGCCACAGGCCCCGCCCACTTTACTAAACCATCACCGCGTCTGCGTGCTGTTGCTCGTGGTGGGCTTGGCCGGTGCCAGCAGACTGAGCCAGTTGGACAGGTCCTCGTTGGTGATGCCCACGACGTTGATCCAGTTGATGGCAGTCGCGTTGCCGCCACTTCCGGGCTCGCCCCCCTCCGGGGCGCTGGCGTTCACCGGGACGAGGAAGGGTGTGTCGGGGAAGTGGGCCGGCGTGTCCACCTCACTGTCCAGCGACTTCCCCGGTCCGTGCAGCAGGTGGAGGTCGTTGCGGTCGGTGTCGAGGGTGTCCAGCGGGAGCTGCGGGCGGATCCCGTGGGGAAAGGTCAACAACCTGGAAACGAAAAGCCTTATTTACCCAATCGTCCAAGGACGTTGGAGAAAAGAGATGGACTCACGGGAAACGCCCGGGTTCACCAATCGGTGGGGTCGGCTCAGGCGGGACCATGGGCGTTGGGGAGCCGCTGGTGGTGGCCGTGGTGGTGTCGGAGGTGGTCGGAGTGGTGTCGGTGGTGGTTGGGAGCGTCGTGGTGTCCGTGGAAGTTGGCTCGGTACTTCCGGGGGTCGTGGTGTCGGTGGAGGTGGAGTCGGAGGTGGTGCCGGTACTTCCGGAGGTGGTTTCCGTGCTTCCGGAGGTCGTGTCGGTACTTCCGGAGGTCGTATCAGTGCTTCCGGAAGTCGTTTCGGTCGTGGTGTCCGTGGAGGTCGGGTCCGAACTCTCGAAGGTCGTCCCGGTGCTGCCGGAGGTGGTCGGGGACGTCTCGATGGTCCCGGAGGTCGTCGGGGAGGTCTCCGAGGTGGCGGAGGTCGGGGAGGTGTCCGTCACGGGGGATGCGGTCGACGCGGGTGTGGTGGAGGTGGTCGACGACACCGGCGCTGCAACGAAGACACACCTAGACGCATACCTCCCAAACCGACGACGACGGCGCCTTACCGAGACCACTGCAGACGGTGGGGGAGCAGCCCAGCGTGGAGTACATGGTGGTGATGCCGATGCAGTCCCAGTAGCTGAGCAGGCCGGTGCGGCTGGTCCCGATGGGCTGGCCGCTGAGGCTGCTGAGCAGCCGGATCCCGGGCACCGCGTACCGGTCCACGTCCAGCATGGTGATGGACTCCAGGTCCAGCGCCGTGCCCAGCGTCTCCACGTTGCGCTCGTGGTACGGCCGCAGCAGTTCCAGAGCCACCAACTCTGCAGTGCGGAAAAATCGCCGGAAAAGCTTTGTAATTAATTATCATTTATTTTAGTTTTTATCTTATTTTCTAATTTTAATTATTATCCTTTATTGATGATAACTTCGGCAAATTTTTGTGTTTTAAATTTTAAACTGTATATGTATTTCTATAATATTTTAATTTATTTTGCCATAAAATATAATATTATTTTTTCTATTTATTACATTTTATAAAATTTGTTTTATATCAATATTATTGCTAAGATTTATTTTAGATTATTATTATTTAAATATATCGATTATATTAACTTAAGTGTGCTAATGTTTTATTTCGAATTTTTTTGTCTTATTTATTATACAACATAAAGTGGATATATTTTTTGGATTTAATTTTTAACTTATTTTTCTTTTAATTAATTTTATTTCATTTATATTATTTTCTGGTGATTATTTTTCATTCCATACCGGGGCGGATATTCTGGGGATGCGTGGTGATCCAGCGCTCGCGATCCGGCCGGTTATACTCGTTGCGGAGGCCCAGGACGTTGACCAGGTATTTGGCCGCCTGCCGGACGCTGTCCAGACAGCCGAAGACGCCGCCGCGCAGTATCAGTTTCTGTCCTACACATCAGCGTTAACTACACTAAATGCTGTAATTATTTTTTTATATTTACTAATTAACTACATTAATAATTTGTAATTGCAGAATTAATTAAATATAATTTGTATTTACAGAATTAATTTATTAATGTGTATGTACAGAATTTTAACTAACGCGCCAGACTAACCTCGACCGCGGCTACGCAGGACGCGTCCGGGAAAGGAGAAGCACGTCGCCGTCGCCAACCTATACAGATGACCGAATTTCGAAACAAACTCCCGCATTTTATATACCGGCATAAACCGCACAATAATTGTGCTGGATATTTCTTTTCTCGTTAATATAGTTTCGTGCTTACGTTATTAATTAATACTGAATTAATTTTCCGCAAATTCCGGGAATTAAACATTCTGCGTTATTTAGCTAACCCGTCGTTGAGTGTTTTGGACAGGTAGAGATGATCGCGTCCCAGATCGCGCAGCGGATCATACAACCGGAAACTGATGCACTGGCCCAGCTCGCTGGATAACTGCGACATGGCCTGCAGGATAATCACCAACTCCGCCGCCTCTGCCAGTTAAATAAGCAAACATAAGCAAACATGCGGATAGAGATTTTGGTTGTTTTTTAATGTTTAAATTTTAACTGTAAAGTAGTGTGCCCGCGCTTGCACTTTTGTTGTTATGGCGGCTATTGCCCAATAAATTCAGCAAACATAAAGTTTATAATATGAGAACATATTATTTCATGAAATATTGCAGGTATGTACAGATACTAAAAAAAGTATCATTACACCATAATAAAGATAATGGTAAAAACAACATTCCATAAATTATGTAATTACTATATAGTATCTAATTACCAAATATTATTATAATACTGTAATTTACAATGTCATATACATTTCTATTTCGATATACCTGTAAAAGTCATTGTCATAATATTATTGTTCGTATATTATGATATTTCGTATTTAATTCACATAATTTAAACTTATTTTTCAGTAATACTGTAACTAATTCTCTGATAAAACTAACCCGCTTTTTCAAAACAATAATTAAAATTTACCATGGAAAAAATAATAATAATTAATTGCTTGCATAAGACAATATTTAATGACAATATACTCATATGCAATGATTAAGATAATAATAAATACCAAAAATAATTGATTATATATTTTATTTATCCGGCTTTTTGTGTTTTCATATTCTATTAATTATTATGGTGTACTCGTACCAAACCACGTAAATAAATTAAATAAAAAATGACAATAGATCAGTGTTATTAAAAATCGTCAACAGCCGCCTACCGTAGGAGGTGGCCGCGTCGGTGGCCAGCCGGAAGGGGATATCGCGCGGCTGCAGCCACAAACTGTAGCCGAAATTCCGGTTGACGCTAAGCCGCTGCGGCAGCGCTTTACTGCCTTGCAGGACACCCTTACTGATGACCTTTAGCCCGCTCTTTATGGGTGCGGGCGGCGGCCGAAGCTGGGGAGCATCGGGGCGGCGGGAGCGCGGCTGCGGCTGCACATAGATGGCGCTGCTGCCGTCGATCCGGCTGAGAATACTCGCGTCGACGGCCAATAAAACCGCCACAAAGGTCATCAAAATTAACAATAAGTTAACACTCCGCGGTGGCGACATAGTGGAGGACAATATATGTATAAAGGTCACCGCGTATATATGTATAAAATCCCATATAAAGGTCACCCACTTATATTTATAAAGATTCTATTATACGTGTTTTATATATAAAGGTCACCCGCTTAATGCAGCTGGCTTTAAGAGAGTAATTAATGTGAATAAAACTGAAGGCGACCAGCGCGGCGGTGATGCCGGTTGTCTTATCACGGGCATTGCGGCGTTGATCGTGAAGGCCAGCGGCATTAATCATCGGTGGATACAGTGCGGGGGGAATGCGTGTACCGCAACACACACCCGCTAAGTGTACATGCACCAGACGGACAACAATGTCCACACGCGTCAGCGGCAGGCCGACTCTGGCTGGTCGTACGATAATATTATAACGGAAACAGCAGGAGTAAATAAAACCAATACTGTAACAAAACTATCAGTCTATATGAAACAAATTTTATTTTATAATTTTTCTAGTTACCAGCTGTACATTAATTTGGCTGATGCATGCCAAATATCTGTTCATATAAATTATAAACAGTTAGTTATAAACAAATTACAAATGATTATAAATTATAAAACAATTACAAACAATTATAAGCGGTCTAAAGTATAAACAGTGCAGTTAAATTACAAAGTACTCGTATTAACTTTTCCCTTTTAAAAAATTACCTTGAATATTGAGAGGAGTACATTAAATTGTGTCGTTGTGGGTGGACGTAATAGTACTACAGTGGCAGTATGGAGTATGAGCTTAGAAATCTGACTGTAAAAAACGCATCGGCCATAATCGGTGATGCGGTGGGAAGTGGGAAGCAGCCCTACATGAGCCGTCCCTGCAGTCTTTCTGTCGGCCGGCAATAAGGCATTCGTCGGATCTGTTCTGCGGCATCAGTACAGTAGTCAGTACAGGCTACACACGTGCCACAGACGGCAGCACTGCGCGAGACGGCTGACGCGCGCTGCGCTGAATGAACGACAAAGAGATGGCATGCGACTAACGCGGCCGCCGTCGCCTCAGCCGCCTGTCTGCCGCGGAACACGGCGCCGGCAGCTGTGCGCCTTGTACACGTACGTAACGCCGGCCGCTGCACAGGGAGAGCAAGCGGAGTACATCTTTTAGCCGGCTGTACCGCTTTAAGCGAGCGATGTACAGCCGTGCATTAACGCGAGCGCAGCTGCACGCGGCCACATCAGTCTGCAACTAACAGTAAAATTAATATAGTCGCCTTCAATTTCACGCTGCATACTGCAGAATCCCATAATGATTATCCGATTATTAATTCCTAATTACTTCCAGCGTGTTTCTTTGGGGAATTCCTATCCAACGATATCGAGTGAAGTGTGATTGTTCTGTTCTAGCCGTGAACCTGTGGCACCTGTGTTGTAACCTCCTTGTTTTTAATTTTTATTGCAATTGCTGTCCAATCGTGGGATAATGGGTCATCCTCTCATCGTTGTTGCCGTGGCTGTCGGCTTGGCCAGCTGGTTCCCTGGCAGCCTCCAGTGTTCCCAGCAGGGCGTCAGCGTGGATACCAGTAAGTCAGTGTAGCGTTTAGGCCGGGGATCAGACGCACTGGGCAGTCTTCCCGGTCCTGGCCGGTTCGTGTGCCTGTTAATTTGTATATACCGTAAAACCCGATATTAACACCCCCCGCCCCCCACCCCCCCAATATTATCGCCGCGGGGCGCCTGATAAATTGCGGCGCCGCGCTTTTTTAGAGTGTTGTCGTTACAGTCGGAATGGTACATCTAAATGGTCTAAGGCCAATTCCGTTAAACCATCTAGTTTCTAGCAGATGTCTTTGCTTCCAAATTATTCCTTTAATGCCCACACATAATCCTGTTCAAGCTTAACTATCATGAGCACGTTATATAACATTTTAAATATTCGACGACACCCCGCGTATTAAACGCCCACTGCGGTTTTTAAGGCCCCTCCCGAAGCTCTGGAAAAAATAAATGTCCAGGGCGTTAATATCGGGTTTTACGGTATGTCTAATGTGGGCAGCGGGCATCATCCCACAGCTCACACTATCGCTGTTTCCAAGGTGTATGAGGATGTGTCGAAAATGATAAGGGGCAAGGGCCAATGGTAAGGGAATAAAGAGTATTAAAATTGCCTTGGTTCTCTTCCTTTTCCCTGATGTTAACGTCTTATGAAAAGGAATACAGTTGTGAAGGGAATCGTTTTTGTCTACGTGCTGATAATTACCGTTAATTAGAAATCGGCGGGCGTCCCGCTTCCCGCCCGCAGAATTGATGTTTTTAATTTTTAAAAATGCATTTTTTTAAATTTTCAATAAAACAATTTTCAAAGTACAATTTAGTTAGTTTTTAAATAGTTTTCAGTTTAAATTGGTTGATTTAAATTGATTTAAAGTTTTTCAACGTTTAAATGAGGCATTTTAATTAGCGTTCAGCGCGCAGGCCCTTTTCTATGTGTGGCGGCTATTGCCAAATAAAAATATTAAAATTTAAAGTTTTTTTCTGTTAGAGAATCATTGGTGAAAAAAATTACAAAATCGAATCAGAAGCGGTGCTTGCTGTTCATAATATGGAACATTTTTACCCGATTTTCAAAACTGCTGCATTTAGATTTTAGAGTAAAATTAAGCTGCATTTTCGCGCGCAGCTAATGGGTAAAGTTCTGCAAAAATTTCATGAAAATCGTAAAAATTCACGACCATTTTCCTGAAGTCGTAAAAATAGTGTTATGCCATTAAAAACTTTTTTCCCAATTTTTTTAGAAGCGGCAGGCCCGCTCCGAGTGTCAGTTTTCCCGCCGCGCTCACGCCCGCAGCAGGGACTTCCCCGCTAGTGCTTTCCCTGAAATAGCGCGGGTGCGCTCCATTTTCCGTTATTACCGAGCCCGTGAAAGAAGCGGAGCAAAATCACGCTGCTAGTGCTGGAGACTGTGGAATTTTTTAAACCTGCCGGAATTTTGCAATAATGATCGCGAACTATTTTACTTGCAGCGCGATTTGTTTTTGCATGAAAGTCTCGATAAATATTTTTAAAGAGTAGGCATATACTGTATATCTATTAGTCGCAGCACTGATAGTACAGACAGCGCAGGCATTTAATCGCGTTTTTTCAAGAACTACACTTTATTTCCAGTTCCTGAATCTTGCCATCATCCGAAATGATTTCACCGTTGTACTTATCAGAATTATTTTACACACGTTACCTTCATTTGTCCCATGTACAGACAGTAGAGAGCGTACACCATGTCAGCGCAGCATCCATAGAGCTGCAGCCGGGCAGAACACAGCAGCGGCCACCCACTGCGCTCTGCATTCTGTGTTCCCCTGCAACCTGATGGCGTTTGTGTCGTAGTCAACCGGATTCTGGACCAGGCTAAGGAACGCAACGCGTCCGGCACCATGCATCTGCAGGGGCACGGGCGTGGCCTCCCTACCCGCGACTTTCCCCTAGCGGCATGGCCGCCCAACACCCAGGTCATCCGCGCGCCGGAAGGCGGCCGACTGCTCATTCCCTGCAACAACACCAACAACACGCAGGTACGGTATGTACTATGAAGTGTGAAACAATTTCCGGGCTAGTTGCGATCCGCAGTGAGATGGCCCCCCTACAGCATCGACTTGAGTTTAGCCACCATCCGCCTGCAGCCGACTACGGTTAATGGCGGTGCCGCGGTATGCAGTGAGGCGCGACCTCTAAATGTGTTCCAATCAAAATTTACAATGTATTAGTTTATGCTCAATGTTGTTGCCCGGGTTTTATGGGACATTCACGGTTTCTTCCTGTGTTTTCTTATGCTTATCTAAGAGCGGTTGTTGATTAAGACGAGGGGTACCCAACATATGGTCCCCTTGCGCTAATTTTTAGTGTGCACTCGGTGGCCAGTGCACGGTCAATTTAGCTAGTGCCGCATGCCACCAAGATGTTGTGCTACCATCCGATAATTTTTTTATGAAGTTTTGTACGGTCATTAACACAATACTGAGGAAATTAGTTTTCAGCTTCGACCCCGGTAAAAATATTCACTATTCAACTGATTAGGAAGATACCTTGCCTTATGATAGATATTGATGTCAACTATCCGTTGCTGGGAGGATATTCAAAAATTCGAAAAAAACGCTGTAGAACTATGAAAAACAAATTTTAAACCAAAATACCGTGCGAACGCGACGTCCTATCGAGATGAAATTTGGTGCAAGGGAATAGCGCGAGTCATTGCCTTCCTGTTCACTCTGATGCCGACAATGTACAGTATCTATACTAACAGGTGTCCCACCTGACGATTCCGCCGGCGTTCTCCTACAACGGACAGCAGGTGAACTTCTCCGATGCACCAACCAGCCGACCCGAGGTCCCGGCCACGAATTACTGCTGTAACCGTACCGGTCCGGACGACAGCGTGGTGTGGAAGAAGATGCGGGCGCTCGGGTACGATGCGGCCAGCGGTGCGTTCATCCTGGCACTGGAGGACTTCACGTACGCCCACACCGGCTTGTACGAGTGCCTGCACTCCGACGGCCGCCAGCTGGTGGTGACGCAGCGCTACTGGATCAGCGCCAGCCTCTTCCGCGACCAGGTGACGCAGAGATCAGTACGAGGGGAATGTTTACCGTAATAATCCTACCGACCTACTCAATGACAGAGTATGAGCTGATAATCTCAGTGTGGCGTAGCTTAAGGTGAATTTCCACTCAAATTACACCATTTTAAATTATACAGGAATCGATAGAGAATTCATTCCTCTATCTACTGATGTGAATCAAGCTTTTATGAAAAACTTGCGCACAGTTACCTATTTTAAAAACTATCATAGAGCAGAAATCTTTTAGAAGGTTCTAATACTACGCAGAAGAGGAGATATCTCTGTTCTGGGGGGATGACAAGTTTGCTTGACCACAAGCCACGAAATCATCAGCGGCAGCAAATGTTTGTATAAGAACCGGAAGAATGAGAAGATACGCGCTCTATCATAAATGATCAGGAAGAACAATGAAATTTATTGCCCTGTTCTCATCTCCATCTCCATTCACCACTTAGCGCTTGAGTGTCAGAGAGTCATTCCTGCTCAGCTGAAACAATACGTGGCGCGATGAGGCCGGGACACAACAGGAAGCGCAGCAATCGCACCAAGAATAGGCCAGCTGTCCAGCCTTGTCTATACCGTTCACAAAAACTTCATTTTCCCAAAACAACAAATGTGGGGCAAATAATTCGATGTTTTATCCGACTCTAAGTGGGAATTTACTCCATGTGATGGAACGATTCGTTCCATCACATGGAGTAAATTCCCATACACATTCTGAACCAAAATGAAGCTGGTCAGATCTAAAATGACTAAGTTATAAGAGTTTAGAATTTTCAAAAATTCATTACATCTTTGTTTTTTAAGATATCATCACCATAATGGTTCAGAATGTTCTTTAGATATAGATTTACCATAATGGTAAATTTGGTCGGAGTCGGATAGATAGGTGAATTATTTGACGCGACAGAGTTTTTAAACTTTTGCCGGTGATAACGCAACAGCCGGTCATTGCGCGCACATTTTGAGTTTTAATCGGTAAAGTTCAATGTTTTGAGCACCGATAGCAGTAACGTACATTATAGAACTGTTTACGAGTCCGAAGTGGTGTTTTTTCTCGCAAGAGGGGTGCAAACGAGTAGAAACTCAGCTTAAGTCTACGCATCTACGCGAACGAGAAACTGCATCTCCGACGATAAATTTGATTAACAACTGCGAATACTGTCAAACTCAAAATGAGAAAACTGATCCAAAGTACTGCCGCACACGGACTTATATAGACACGGCGCATCCGGTTAGAAAGAGCACGACTATATCATCTAAACAATCGAGAAAATTCCAGAAAGTGAAAGGAATAACAGCAAGTACGAGTAAACAGATTAACGACGTACGTACTAATCACTACGAGTACGGTTATATTCACAGGTCTTCCAGCCACCCATGCAGAACCTGACGATCCGCTACGGCGACCCCGCGGCCCTGGAGTGCGCCGTCAGCTTCAACTTCCTGCCCGGACGCCTGACCGACCGCTTCCTGTGGCGCCGCGGCCGCTACCTGCTCATGGCCGCCGGCATCCCGGCCGTGGCCGACCAGATTGCCTCGTGGTGGGGCTATGACGGGCGCGTGGAGGTGGGCATCAGTGAACAGCGGCAGTGCCATTCCACCTTGAAGATCGACAGGGTGACGTGGCGGGATGCCGGTCGGTACGAGTGCTGGTTCCGCATCGACGATCGTCTGGACGAATGGATCATGCAGGAAGCACACCTGCACGTCATCTAATCACAGCCACTATTTGGTTAATTATTCACGGTTCGGCGTCTGTCTGTATATGTACGTATGCCTTGTATATGCCGCTGTTTCCGTAGAGCAGCGGTTGTGTGTTGTTGATGTGTGGTGAATGTGTTGTGAATGTGTTCTTAATTTCTTAATTTTTTGTTGAGATTGTACTTTTTCTTACTGCGTAAGAGCTAGAGTTGAAGTTTTGTTTTTCGTAAATTTGATGGTAACTGAATGGATAGCAGTTGTTCTGCGTCATCGGCATACTTTCTCCCGTGGACCTGGGACGTCTACCCCCAACAGAGGCGGCTAGGTGTCCCTGGTTCGCGACAACGAAGATGAGAAGACGGATCTGTTACTACCTCAGGAATTCTGCATGTGCATGACGGTAGAACTTAAACCAAAGAGCTCGGTGAAAGGGGACCACAAAGGCCCTTTGCCACCACAGGAAAGCATGATGTAGGACGGAATCCTAGTCACTCGGCCAGCAGACGCTATGGCAACACGCGATTGTTCAACTTGGACTTTAACGGTGCGGGGCTTCGCCGCCCAAAGGCATTTCACTCGGAGAAGCGGACTGACCGACCAACAGGAGTTCGGATCCGACCCAGAGTTCATATCAGGAACGTAGCCACAGAAGGAGCGGAGTTGCGTTGCCGAATATTTTTCTGCCAGTCTGAACTGACCGAGAGATATTCAGACACAAGAGACCCGGTCAACTGTAGCCGGATGCACAGTCCACCCAGGATCAAGTCGACCTGACGACTGCCGACCAGCCCCATATGGGCGTAACGGTATAAGTCGCCTTGGCCGACTATGAAGATGAACGTATGGCCGACTACTGGTCGGCCGGATCACGTGACCGAACGGAGGTCGGAAATGCACGACATCAAGTCGGCGAAGAAACTGGAGGTCGGACATCGATCCTCAAACGGAAGATTTCAACTTTCCGACGGTGAGAAACACTTTAGCCGACCTTCGGAAGTGGATAACCGACCACTGAAACAGCAACATGGATAACCGACCGCTAGTCGGATATGTTGACTGACCAACATATGGTCAGCCAACTAAGTCAACATCGTAGAAAGAGATGGATAACTGCCTCGCAATGGACGGATTCGACTAGAAGGAACTTGTTTAGCCCCACATGGGCGAAATAATACAAGTCAACCTTAGTCGACCATCGTCGGATGGAATGACCGACCTCGAGTCGGATAACTTTGTGACCGACTACAGGTCCGCTAACAACGGAACCCGGATTTCCCCGCCGCCGGTCGACTTACGGGTAGGCCGACCTTGGTCAACCGACCTCTTTCCAATTCCCTTATTCAGAGAGGATGCCTCGGCATTAGCAACCGCAACAGTGCCTCTCTATCCCTAACGGACGGATACGAGTTGGAAGTAAGTGTTTCACCATGCTTATCCGACTTTGGTGAATTTAGCCGGTTATGACGGGTAACTCGGAACTGACGCCCCGGACCCAACTTACCGGATGAGATAAGACAGGAGACCCCGTGGCGACTCCAGCACCCTGCGGACGTCATCCTTAGTCGGAATAGTACCCCCGCGGATAATCGAGGGTCTGCAGCCAGCGAGCATGCACACGCTTGACCTTTGGATAAACTTCGCCGGCAATCGGGGGGAAATGGCTGTCCAGAGCCCACGTGAACTGGCTGACCAGGCTCTCCGCATCCTGACGGCAATCCACAACGAGCTGCGGGAGGGTGATTTGGAGCTGATCGATTGCGAGCCCTGTGACCCAGGAACTGGATGGCGAGCATATGGGCGTGAGGGTCTGCATCCGTTGCACCTCAGGGGCTGTGCCACACCGTCAAGCCGCTCAACTGCGACTGGAAAAAGATTATATACAGAGTTTTGCCAAAAATCTGGCTTAGTTTCCAGTTGTGGAGCACGATGCGTCGGCTGCTCTTTTGGTCCAACCATAACCATATCGTCGCACCATGCCCTGCGAAAAGCTGTCTGCTATTAGATCCCCAATGTGCAGCATATGCGAATAGGCTTCCCGAATCGGTAGTCTTTGAAAATTATTGTTGGCAACTGGATCTCCATGATGCTTAGCAAATCCGCTAAATAGCTCAAGTGGAAAAATGGTTTTGGTATAATAAGGCTTCTTGTCGTTGAACGCACGGTAGAAATGAGAAGATATGCTGTTTTGTAGCAATTCAGGTTATCAGATTTTGTTTCCTTAGCACATGTATCTAAAGAGATTCGGATGTGCTCGCTTGCGCGACGACTGTTCAGGAGCTGCTGCCATAAAGCACACACGCTTAGGGAAAGTTACGCGCGTTAAATTCTTGTGTTCTCTGCATTTGCCTAACCTTTTGAGTGACAGTAGGGTAGGCAAATGCAAAGAACACAAGAAAAACGACCACTCCGTGCACAACCATTTACCACAATCTTTCAATCCGTTCACACTTTTTCCGGTATGGTCTTTCAATTCACTTTGTGTACCTACTGGCATGACAGTGGCCAGCACGATAAAGGCGGCCGCCACACATTTGGGTGGTATAGTCGTAGACGACGACCCTGCTCACAAAACCAGTCGCAAACAAGACTTGTTGCCGACTTATTTCGTCAGCAGCATCGTCGATCATGCTTTTCGAATTGGGTGTGTCTGCGTTGTCTCCGACGGTCGCTAGACGCCTGGAAAATAGCAGCAGCAGTCAACAGTGCGAAAAATTTGTTGATTACGTCGTGCGTTTCTGGAAAATCCGCGCCCAAAACAAAAAACCGCGTTAAGTAAAAATAGCATATGATCCAGAACTTACGAACTGTAGCTATTACCATGAACTATTTTGTGTAGTAAAATTTTGTTCATAAATAAGCACACGTGGTATTCCATGATTAAGGACCCGCCGTGGGATTTACTAAGCATAAGAGATAAACCGACAAAAAGCAAACTAAGATAAGCGCCGTTGTTAGGGCTCCGCGGACTTTTTCTTCTTGTTAACGTTGTGACCGTTGGGCTCGCTGCTCGGGATCAACTGAATTACGGGATGAAGTTCTTACCTGATGTCGATCAAACAGGATTCACACTGAATCCTGCTTAAACAACATCAGGTAATATCCAATATCCAAATGATGTAAATAATATAATCTTACGATCCCTGAACCGGATTCAGGGATCTTAAGCTGTTCTGAAGCTAGCGCGGACAATTGTCAGCGGACGCTTTAGAGCAATTCAAGATCCTTGAAATTTACCGCGCTGCATAGCGCCTCCAGCTTGACTGGTGGTGGAGTTTTGGCCGCTTCAAGTGCATCCCACGGCCAACGCCATGCAGTTATTCAACTGGATAAAACCGATGTTTGTCGTTTCATTATTACCGAACGATTATTTGTCCTTCGTGAACAGAGGATGAGAAGGAAGGTGATAACAATTAAAGAACGGTTATTTTACAGAGTATGCAGCAGCGCTGTCGGCAGTTGGCGGTTGACAGCGTGCCCAAACGCCAGCAGGCTTCGATCGATAAACGCGCACACGCGATTTATCCATAAATGAAGGCACACGTTCCTCGAAGTGGCATTATTAGGAACTAAAGTGTCCCAACTAACCGAGATCGATACTGTAATATGTGTATATAGGAACATTTGCAACTTTGCTTTCCAAACACAACGAAGCGGCAGTGGAAAAGCATCCGGTGCCATGCGAGTCTGCAAGCTACATGTGTACCAACTCGTTACATACCACACTGTATGGATGCCCTGGAGGAACAGTTATGGTATCATCCGCATCTTCGTGTACAAACTTGTCGAGAAATTATAGACGCATAAAGTCAGCTACGAATGGAGTTGATGAGTTGCACCTGTTTCTCATCAGTTACCTAGCCAATTTATGATAAAAAATCCCAGCTGATTCGGAGTAAAAACAACTACAACTTCAACAACAAAACGATTCCCGACTATGTAATTAACAATACACCACCTGCGTCGGGTACAGCGGCATACAAATAACTCTGGAAACACTACTTGATAGTTAAATTCGAACAGTCAGAAACTAACAGGCATCCTGTGAACGTTGCTACTAACGATTTTCTGGGATGTTTGGAGTCCTGACGACCGTTGCGACTCAGGAAAATTCGCTGTAGACAATGACATCAGCTTGATAAAGCAGCCACATATCATATGCTTCCTCAGGTAGAGTATAAAGCTAGGTTTCGGGAACCATAAGAAAGCACAACAAGTCCAAACCCAAATGGGAAAGTCCAATTTGATGAACCCATAATATACGAAGTATTTTTATATACGCAGTGTAAGCTGCTGTACGACGGTCCGTATCGCACGAGGAAATGGTACTACAGTATAATTATGTCGTTTTCCAGAGCGAAGGGGGTGAAGTGTGCAGTATAGTTCTCCATTCGCCCGGGATAGATCGCGAAAAATTCATGTTTAGCATGGAATCAGCATCTTTCCTCGGGGTGAGTCCTGCGAGTAACTTGATTATGTAGCGCAGCACTTGAAAAAGACTGGTGCATCCGTGAAACACTGGTACATCCGTGATTCTCCCCGTCCAACTGAGATTCGGAACGGCCGTAAGTCTAAGCTGCTCTTATCCAACACAAGTTACACAACGGTTGAGGAACGCCACAAACCGATTTGTTAAAAGTCAAAACTTACACTAACGCGTGCAATAAAAAAACGCCATTTTTATTTTGATTTATAATAATGATTTTGACGGCTACAACCAGACATCACTACCTCAAATCCTTTAGGAACTATCACCAAAACGCGTACATTTATACGAGACGAATGAATGACTCTACATTAACTCACCGGAAGCGGAAGTCGACTCGACTAGCTGAACTGAAGGGCACCATCGGCCGGCGGTTACGTAATTAACCTCGGTACTCATTTTCTTAGTCTGCACGTTGCGCTTAGCTGTTGTTAACTTGTTGCCTGCTCATTATTGCAGTTCTGGAGCCCCATTTTAGGGTTTCTTTGCTTTCGGCACAAATCTTTGCTCGCCGCTTGGTTGACAACGATAATCGCCGTTGTTTGTGCCATCATGGTCGGTGCGTAAGGAAACGGTGGATTAGGGATA